GAGGGGTTTCGTTTGTAAACTGCAATGGTACCGGAAAGGCCAGTGGTGTAAACTCAAATGGCCACAAAGGGTGGCCTGAGAAGCACCGAAAAGGCAACAAGGTATGCGCTTCTTGACTGGAAACCCCTGTGTGTGTCGGGTTTTCGACTTCCGAGGTTCTTGAGAAGTTGTTGTGTGAAATTTTTCCACCAAGCAGCACACCACGAACACAAGTAACACACTCAGAGAGGCCTCAAGAAAACTGCTGTGGAGCTCCAGCAAGTTTCTGGGAACGGACAATGAGCAGGTGAATGCAAAAGGGGCAGGAAAAGGATGAGAGGGAAAGGGCAAAGGTGGCAAGGAAGTGAAGGACTGCATCTATGACGTCCTCCTTGTGAAGGTGCCAACTTTCATCAAGGAAGAGTCCGATGGAGACATCTGGAACTTACAGAAATAGGACACAACTATTGTCGAAACTTCAAGCGTTTCACCTCAGAGGGCTCGGAAAGATTCTATATATATATACTGTAATTCTATTGAATTCTTGTTTCTAATAGCTTCTTGCCTAGTAGTAAGGCCAGGAGCCCCTAGTAGCGCCCTTGTTCCTAGTAGCGATGCCCTTTGCTCCTAGTAGCGTCCTCTCTTTGTCATTCAACATTATAGTATAAGCCTTCAGAAGTGCAAATGCAGTCTTAGTCTTTCGGCGCGGAGAAGCACATGTGCAAACCATAAAGGACATGCTTGCATCAACATGTTGTGAATTCATGCATGTGAGCCCTTCAGAGAGGCTGTGCAAAACCTAATCTCACCTTCGACCGGAGAGTTGGTCGGCCCCGTAAACCTTGGATCGAATCCTCAGATCGCGCGGGAGAAATCCCACAACGCTCCATTCACCAACTTCAGCAACTCGTGCTAGATGCTTGTGCTTCTCTGTTCTTACCAGGCTTTCGTCTGGACTCCGATATTGTTCAACAATAATAATAGTAATAGGTCATGCTGATGATTCATGATAACAGGAAAGGCTGCGTGCAACCGTGCAAACAAGAGAACTGACCTAATTTGTTCTCTCATGTGACGCTCACTTATCAATCCCCGTCACAATTTCCACTATGAAATGGGTGACCTCGAGGCTCTGATTAAAAAATATTTGGCAGTAACATCTGTTTGTGAGCATGTCCGAGCATTTCGTAGAGTCGTAGAGGCCCATTTTGTAGTGGAAATTGGTGCTTTAGTTTGGAGGTTTGGAATGCACTTTGTAGGACCGTATTTCTTAACTCAAGTAGAGGTATGCACCCCATCCTGTAGTGAAATCCAGTGGTTTTGACATGCTTCAAATGCTGTGGTCTGGACCTCATGTTATAAGGGAAAGTTGTAGTTGTCTGATAGTAGGCATTTGGGTTCAAGAACTGTTGAGTTTGACAGAGCACTGCACATCATGTTCATTACATTATGTTTGGACACCCAACTTACAAACTGCCATGGACTGTTTGGTGGGTCCCTGGTCGTCTCAGTCATCTTCTTGAAACCTTGCCCAAGCACAGCAACCAAAGATCCAGGAAGGCAAGAAGAAACCAAGATTTACAAAGTGATTTACAAGCTTCTGGAGGCCACCACCGTCAGATGAACAAAAAAGGGTTTCAAGAGAAGCTCTTTAAAAGCTGGGGAGGATCAAATTTGTGGATGATAAATCGACAGGTACTTATCATGACTTGTGCCGAGGTACGGGCCCTTTTTGTAGTAATTATTAGTCATTGTGCCGTCCGGGACATGGGTCTTTCATGCCCGGCATTTTGTAGAGACCCCGAAGCCCACGAACACATCCAGTAGAGGATACGCTAACTACAAAATGGGGCGGCATGACCTCACCATGGAAATGCACTCCGGGATACTTATCAAGCAAGCTTGCTTAAGCCGGTCTGAGATGCCGACGGGTGTTTGTATATGGCTCTTGTACTTGAATTGTTTCACTTCAATTGACATGGCATAGTGAGCGAGCGAACTCGTATACATGAAACTTGTTGGGATGTAGGGCGTTGGCAAGCTTTAAAACATAACGATGCAAGAGGAACAAAGAACAAGGCCGGGATGGAAAGCTGCTTCAGCAAAGAACATGTTCAGACCGGCAGATCTTGTTCACAGGAGCGTCGACCACAGCGCCTTGATCTTAGCGTCGACAGATTTTCAGAAGCACTAGATATAGATGTCAATACTTGTGGCGATTGCAGGGCACGGGCTTGACGAGCTACCTGTTCCCAATCGGCCAGAAAGGGCGAGACAGGCAGATGCTTCCGACTTTCCTTCGTCAGTCACTCTTGCAATAGACATATTGTGGATTCAGATTCTCTTTGGATTCTCATCATTCTCATCCCTATTATATATGGATTTCCGCACTGCACTGCTTCTTTAAAGTTATTTGGCCTGACTCTCCTTCGCTAATTCGCCAGGATAGGCTGCACAGAGAACGAGAAGGCCTGTCGCATCAGCAGCCTCCTGGTCGACAGGACCAAGAGGAGATTTCGATCGTTGTGTGCTGGTATCATCATTCTGATTCATTCTATAGAACTGTTCTGCCTGGCCCTGCATGAGTGTGCACAGTGCGCACCTTGGAAGTGCAGTGTTGCAGGAGCACAGGGCATCCCGTTCGTTGCCCAGACCCATGTGCTTTCAGTGGAGAGTGTAACTGCGAGGGTTCCTTTTCGTCCTCTTCTGCTAGGCTCGATTGGTTTGGCATCACAGGGTGATCGGCCGATTGGTGCTCGCAATGACGATCACCGTTACAAGGAGCATCCCTGGTATTGTTTGTCATTTTGTTTCATTCGGTGTTGTGCATTTGTGCATCTCTATACATCTTCTTTTTGAACAGGATCGGCGGCGAGATGGGGAGAGCCAGTCGCACCATGCGGGGAACAAAGCTGAAGAGGAAGAATGATTTTTTTTCCTCCCGACTTTCCGACTTTCCGAGTTTTGCCGTTTTCGCATTTGCATTTCGTTCCATCATTTGAGCAGGCACGTCGGGCACCCCGTCATCGCCCCAGGGCCAATAGACTGATGAGAGGGAGAGAGGGGACAGACAGACAGAGTGGTAGATATGTAAGTGAAAGCCTGTTTTGTTGTGCGTACATTTGCCATGACGCACTCGCGGCCCTCACCTCGCTCCTGGTGGACAAAGGTGTTTCACCGGCACATCCAGAAACCAGGAAAACATGCAAGCATTGCAGTCCCAAAGATTGAGTGGCAGTTTGGGTGGGAGTACGAGGTGCAAATGCATCAAGTTTTGGGCAGAGCCTGCCAGACGACAGGGACAACCTGCGTGATAAGGAGCCTTGAAGAGCAGCTACTGTAAAACCCTAAGACCTGGCACTAGTCTTGTGCTCAACCGCCCAGAAGCGATTGCCTTTCTCCGCTTCCAGGAGCCTAGGGGACATGCAGCCAGCTGGCCACCTAAAGACAGATGTTGAAAGCCACGCCAGACTTTGCCCTTTCAAGGTTCGCATGATTATCGCGGAGACCGACACGCCCAGCTAGACCATGCCAATGAAACCCATCGGCATGCAGCCTGGCAGAATGACTTCAGAGACAAGGAGCTGTGCAAGTTTGCATTTTTTGAGTCGTTTTGTGTTCTTTTTGCCCGCTTTTTGCTACTAATAGCGATGCCCTTGTTACTAGTAGCAGGGGCAGCTTCTAGCTACCACCATTTGAACCGTGCTTCAGGATCCGTGGGACCACAGTTGCACACTCAGATGATATTATACAATTATGAGGGAGTCGTGTTCTTTTTCCCAATCGGGCGTTGCAGTTCAGTTCCCTATCCTGGCTTGAGGTACAAACAGGCGCAGTTCCATTGGCTTTGAAGAAGGGCTTGAGGAGGACTAATTGATATTGGCCGAGTGTGGAACAAGGCCGGGATTGGTGTATGATTGCACTTGCGTATGGGAGGATGGCCAAGAGCATCGCAGGGCTCCCAGCTCCTGAGCATTCTGAATGCTACTGATGGCAAACTTGCGAGTGCATCACTTTTGCTCACTAGCTTTCGCTACCAAGGTGTTTGGCGGGAACACCGTTCTGCCAAGCAATGGGATACACGTCGCCCAAAGGACTCGGCTGAAGTAGGCTCACACAGAAAGTAATAAAAAGTACAGAGGATGGGTTTGCTTTTGATTCCATCACATTGTCACCCCATGGCTAGATGCAATAGCTTTAGCTACAGCAGTTTCCTCTCCAGGATGGCACGTATGCAGAGTCTGCACGGCAAGAGCGGCAGGCACATTCTTCCGCAAGATCGGCAGTTTTTGGATTTCAGCATTTCGACATCTTGCGGAAGAGAGCAGGAAGCAAGCCTCGCCAGGATGCGCGAAACCCTGCCAGAACATGGTGTGAAGCGATGCCTGGCTCACTGATTATGTTTGCAGTTTCAGAGAAATAGACACTTCTGACAAGACGTCAGCTGTTGACCCTTGACCTTGGCTACTCCTTGTATGGCTTGCAGTGAGCAAAGGGTTTTGTCAAAGCTCTGGGGGATACTTTTGTGCCCCAGCGGCACTCAGGACCCCAACAAGGACTCCAAGGACGCGCAGATGAACGATCACATAATTCCCGCTCCTGTGATGGACCCTTCCTTTATCTGAGGTGGCCAGAGCTGTGCTAGGTGCCTCCTTGGACAAGTGCTAGCACACAGGTGCTATGCACACAGGTGCTGCGCACCTTGCTAACGAAAATGCACCGAAATCAAGCTTGGGTGTACCGGTTTATTAGCAGGTCATGCATGCACGCATGGATTACCAAATTGACTTTGGAGAGTTTATTAGTGCAGCTCAAATTGCAGCTTTTTGGCCTGTCTAGTGCCCCTTCTGCAGACATGTGGGCTTTGTTCAAGCATGCGCATTCATGTTGGCACAGATAGGGAGAGAAGAGAGAGAGACAGAGAGAGAGAGAGAGAGTGCCGGAATTCCGGGCGGTAAATCGGAAACCAGCAACATGAACACATGCACACTTCTCAATATATACCGTAATAGATTTTCCATCTTCAATATTGGCATGAAGCTTCAAAGCAAGCCGGCGCAATGGATGAGCAGTGCAACCTTTTTGGAAGGTAGGGTTGGCAAATGCCCACTGAGCTTGGTTGTTCTCAAGCAGGATGAAGAGGGAGGTGGACATTTCTTTGTGTACTTTTGTGCCGATAAGTGCAGGTATTAATTAGTGATATGACTTTCAACTATCAATGACAGCGTGGCCCCGGATGCTGTGTGTCACAGAATCCTGAAGGTTTGGTGCCGCCAAGAAAGGACCAGTGACGGCACTGGTGCAACAAACAAATGACTACATGGCACTGTGGCAGACTGTGGCACTGTACAGGGGAAAGAGTTTAGGATCTGGAAAGATAAGCAAAGCCAGAACACACATTTTTATAGCAATGTCATCATTGGTTCACTTCCTGGATTCGTCCTCTTCGGTTGATTCGTTTTTTGATTGGCCTTGATACGGACTATCCAAGGACAGTCTTTGTCCTGCCTTGCTCTGACTCCAGTTCACATTACTCTACACTATGTTACGAAAGCCAGCCTTCGTAGAAGGCGCTAGCGGAGTTGTGTTTGGCGAACGAAGTAAGTAGTTAGGGGGTCTGGGGGGGGTGGCCCGGGAAAGGTACACGTAAACTCGGCACATGCTGGGGGAGGAGGGTGCGTCGAGGGAAGGTTTTTTGAGGTTGTGTTGGAGGTGATTTTTGAGGGGTGATGCAAGAAATGCAATCTGCATCATTTGCATCATTTGAATGGAAAGGTGCAGTTGGCACCTTGCCAGGTATAGAGACCCAGGGTAGCTATAGTGCAGCTACCAGGTATAGTACTTCAAGTTCCCTTTCCGTCAACCGCTCGATAACCTCTACACACGCACAGCAATCCACAGCTTTGAAGTCTCATTCGTGCTTTGAACTTGTATAGGTGTGTAAGAGGTATAGCAACATAGTATTTACCAGGCTACCGCCTGCAGCCGCCGACCCCCAAGGGATAGAACCTTAGCGCTAGCCTTGCTCTATGTTAGCCTTAGCCTTAAGCCTTAGCCTTAGCCTTAAGAGTGCAGACCCAACCCAGCACCACCAAAGCAGGTACCCAAAAAGTCGACTTTTTGGGTACCTCCCAGATTTACCATCGGACGTCACCTCTTGCATGAACCCCGATCATTGCCCAAGAATTTAGACCCAACCCTTCACCACCAAAGCAGGTACCCAAAAAGTCGACTTTTTTGGGTACCTCCCAGGTTTACCAATTTAGACCCAACCCAGCACCACCAAAGCAGGTACCCAAAAAGACAAAGCCTAGAGCATTCCTAGGAAAATGCCAGAAAAGCCTTTGAAAATCTCATAAGCCAACAGAAAACGTGACAAAATCTACGAAAAAGCAAGGGCATTGGCCGGGACCATGCCGCGACCAGCCCGGGATTCGAGCCCAGGACCATTTTGGACCGTGCTTATTTTCCCGCGCGGGTCGAGAGGGTGCCCCAAGATGTAAATCAATTGGGATGGCAGAATCTTGGACAATTCCCGGGTCGCTCAGGTCGCTTTCAGGGCGGGATTTCGTGACTGCAACAAGGGTCCGGAGGGGTAGGGGAGGTAAGGTCTAGGTCTAGGTCTAAGGTCTAAGGCTAAGGCTACGGCTAAGGCTTAAGGCTAAGGCTAACATCGACAGTCACGCCTCACCCCACGGTGTGGGGTCGGCGGATTTATACGGACCCAGGGTAGCTACAATTCTGTTCCCAGGTATGGCACGCATGAGGCTTCAAAGCTGTGGTTTTCAAGCAATATTCAAGGTGGCTTGAGACCAGGGTTTGCTGCCCTAAAACACTCTGTTCAGGCCACCTTGACAATGAAGGTCTGCGAAGCGAGAGCAAAGGAGTTTCCACCTCCTCGCTTCCCAGTCTTCCCAGGGTTCATATAGGGAGCCAGGCCATTTTCAGAATCTTCTGGCTGTTCGAGTTCCTACTGAAGGGTATATGTCACATTCAAGCAGCAGAAGGACAACATGCATCCTCTGCTCTCGCTTCGGTCATTTTGAAGGTGGCCTGAACAGAGTGTTTTAGGGCAGCAAACCCTGGTCTCAGGCCACCTTGAATTTAGCTTGAAAAACTGGTTGTTTGAACAAAAGGGTGCATTGTTTTTGTTTTGACATGGTTACCTATGTGTGGGCAGAACAAGACATGAAGCAGATTTGACACGCGGCCGCCAGCGGCTGCGCGAGCTCATTTGATTGCTTCGACGCGCCGTTGTCGAGAAAGGGAAGCGCCGGCTTTCGTTTTGCAGCTTCTCAGGTTTGTATGTTCAATCAAATCTAATTCTCCAGGCTGGCATCATTTTCAGCACTATAGGCTCTTTCAGAAACTTCAAACATTAATTAATTTGCAGGCTTCTTTCTTTCTTCTTCTTCTTCTTGTGTACAGGCAGGGTCGAGCAACGTAGGGGCTACATACAGCTCACTTGTAGCCCAGAAGGGTAAAGCACGCCGGATTGTTTTCATCGCTTCTTACTCCTCACTCAATACCCAAGGCTAGACATCCTGGTCAAACTTGATGGCGCCCCGTATGTTCCTCGAAGTGCTACCTATTGCAAGACTTGAGACCTTTTCAGCATTGCAAGATCCTGGGCGGTATTGTAACAATTTGTAGCATTACGGGTTCACTTAAGACACTGGTGATTTATGTGGCTCCGTGTTTTAAGCATGTTGTTTGAGCACTTCTGCAGACAATGAATACCACTTTGGGGTCATGAGTGCGATCCTCTCATCCAAGGTGCAACAAGACGCATGAACCTACCGACTCCCGACAGGACAGCTAATGTAAAGTCAGGATTAATAAACCCCCCCTAGTTAATCCGAGCCCACAAAGCCGCCGGAAATTGCCCAAATTAAAAGTATTATTGGCTGTTGATTTCCCCCCCTATGGTCTAATTTTCTACCAACAACCCCCCCCAGTTTATCCGAGCCCACAACCAGGTCAATTTTTCGTATTACTACTACTACTACTACTACTCCTGCTGCTGCTGCTGCTACTACTACTACTACTCCTGCTGCTGCTGCTCCTGCTACTGCTACTGCTACTAGCTATTGCTGCTGCTGCTGCTACTGCTACTGCTACTGCTACTGCTACTACCACGACCAACACCACCACCACGACCATCACCACCTACTACCTACTACATGTTTGATGAAATCCTTAAAAATGTCTAGGGCTCAGGGCCTATAAATTGCCTTATTAAAAAACAATTAAACACAATCATTTGACAAGCTCACAAAGGGTACCCCTCACAAGGGCCGGTCCCCCATCAATAATCTGCACTACTACCTCCTATTAATTTGACCCCTGTGTCCCTGGCCTTTTCTTTGTGCTTGTTTAAACTTGTTGTGACTACTACTACTACTACCTACTACCTACTACCTACTACCTACTACCTACTACCTACTACCTACTACCTACTACTACCTACTACTACCTACTACTACCTACTACTACCACTACTACCTACTACTACCTACTACCTACTACTACCTACTACTACCTACTACTACCTACTACTACTACCTACTACCTACTACTACCTACTACCTACTACTACCTACTATACACTACTACCTACTATACACTACTACCTACTACCTACTACCTGCAACCTACTACCTACTACCTACTACCTACTACTACCTACTACCTACTACCTACTACTACCTACTACTACTACTACTACTACCTACTACTACCTACTACTACTACTACCTACCTACCTACCTACCTACCTACCTACCTACTACCTACTACCGACGACGACTACGACTACGATGGCTCCCTGAGCCGACAATTCAGGGGGAGTGGACCTCATGAGTGGTTATCCCACGTGTGGGGGGGGGGTTATTAATCCGGTCTTGTCATTACAGCCCAACGTTATGGGGTCACAACTGCTCTCGCATCATCCCGTGCACGCAGCTGTTTCGGGTTGTCGCTCTATTTCCGTTTTTCGATAAATCCGCCAACGTAGTCAGAAGAGCTGCGCGGCGTCGCTGGCGTGAGAAAGGAATCTCATCGCTTTGCGTCGCTGACCCATTGCTGAAATATAGTTTTCACACCACGGAGCAACATCGGTGTCAATCACAACTAACCTCACCACTTTGGTCCCAACCTACACTGTCCTACACCCCCCATCCACGCCGAAAGGCAACACAACGAACGCAACGAGCGCCATTTGTGGCGACATCAGTAGCCCGGCGGCACCCACACGAACGACAAGCCGCACACAACGAACCTTGTTTTTGAGCGAACCCATCAAGTTGACACATGCGTGATCGCTGCGCTGTGACACATGACGAGGGGTTTCGGGCACTAAGTTCAAAAACGTGACAAGCAGTATGATTAGCGATTCTGTGCTGTAGGTGTGCATAAACGTGGGCTCATCATGAACGACGCCAATGACTGCATCTTGGCAAGTTGGTCCAACCAGCCTTCAGGCCTTCAGGGTTCTCGGATTTTGGTCAGTTTTGCCTTGCTAGCTAGCCGGAAGTGGCTCCTCGTGCCCGGTGGAAGAGCCGTCGAGAGTCATGCAGAATGCAATAAGGACCACAGAGGGCGAGAGAGAGACAGTAGGAGAGAGGAGCAAATGGAGCAAGACTTGGGCAAGAGAGGGAGAGATAGAGACAGAAAGGATAGGAAAAGAAGGAAGGCCAGCAAAGGGAAGAACCAAAGGGAAAAACGATCAGTATACAGGCTTCGTATCGAAATTCACTATAATATTGTAATATATTGTAATAAGAGTGGAATGAACACTCATGGCCCCACAAGATCAAGCACCGGGAAACTCGAGTTAATCATTTGTTTCTTTCACATACCTAGATGAGTTTGCTCGACTCTTCCTAGACGCACCCACAGTTTTCGAAAAAGGCGGCTTTTCAGCCAAGAACATGATGACAAGAGTAGTACAATCAGCACTGTTTTGTGGCTGGGACGAGCACGACACAGAAGGTGGAAAAACAAACTATAACGCTGCATTTGAGCTTCTGTAAGTCCAGTTGCACAAGCCCGCGTTTCTACTTGATGGGCTTGTATTCTCTTTCTCCCTTCCATCCGCCGAGGCCAACGCTTCACATGACCTCGTCGTGTCCCGAGAGCAACGCTTTGATGCTTCGACTTTGGAGCAGTGAGATTCCTCACTTTCATCCTGATTGGTCGTTGAACATGAAGTAATGTTAAGCAACTCTATTGAAAAAAGAAACTTGCACACGGCGACCTAGGGCAATTCTCGTTGTCTCTGATGCAGCACCTGGCATTTGCAGCGGCCTTTTAACAGCTTTTGACGCTGGCTTTCGCCTTTTGGGTGGTCAGGTGAAGCTTCCGGATCCTTGCCGTGGAAAGAAGCTGATGCTGTAGGCAGAGTGGACTGGGCAAACAGCACCATGGGTGATCCTCTCGCTTTGGAAAGGTCCTGGAGGCCCCTAGGCCCCTAGGCCATAGTTCAAGAATCTTCCAGCGGCAGTGGGGACCTGTGGACTGCTACACAATGTTGCATCTCACATGGCTCATGAAGACAAGGAGGACCCACAGAAAGACAGAATCCTGCAACTTGCGCCGTGCGGAGGGCCAAACCCCACCTGAAACTTTTGCATCCTGTCGTAGCTCTCAGCCCTTTGTTCCTCACCAAACATTTGGTATCCTTTAGTAGTGCTGGCAAATGGGGGCCGAATCCACTCTGGTATCAGGTCATAATATCATCCTAATAGATCTAATAGGGATGGGCTTGTTTTGTTTCACTCGGCTGTGCAGATTCCTCAGAAAGTTGGTAGGTGACAGTGTTGCGTAAATCTTTCCACGCTCTGCACAACAAGCGCAGGCATCGAAGGGCACTCATTGTGGAGACCATGTCAGTGCCTCCGTGTTAAATGTAAATACAAACTCATACACCAAGCTAGTAGGTTGGAGGCCCTCGCTATTAGGTTTATATCCTTTTTTAAAGCCCGGGGGGGGGAGGGTAGGCTGCGAGGCTGTCGAACCTTCTCAGGTCCAGAGAACTGTCCCATCCGAATGCACCTTCCGGGCGAAAGTTTGTGACTTAGAGTAATATTTGCATCAACACCTGTTCTCCAGTGAACAGACTTTTGCAATTTTTGTGAGGCTGTGAATTCACCTGCGTCAATGGATCGTTGGGCAGCTGCACAGACATGGCATCGAGCTTACGCATTTTTGGAACATCCTGGAGGGCGCATGGACCCCTTGGAAGGCAATGAACGTGGCTGATGTGGCCAAAGGAATTTGCCAGGACCCGAGAAATGCCCCACAACTGTGAAGACCTAAGCTTTGCAAGTGAACTAGATCAGGCAATTTCAGCAGAACAGGTCTTGTTTGAACACAATTGCCTGTGACATCCTGTCTCTCAGGCAGAAGCTGCGAAATTTCAGGCTGCCAAGTTTGCAGTGTGGACCCCAGTCGGCATGAAGGAATCCAAGAATGGAGATGTACACGCAGCTTTTTGCGATTCATTTTTTGAACTTCCTTGGGTAGAGGCAGTACATGGCATTGCTGCAAGCGACATTTGTGTTCCCGACGGTGTGAGTACGCACGATGGCCGCAGGTCCGGAGGATCGCTGTACAACGCCAAGTGCGCGGTCGAATGTGCCAATATGACGCAACACATGCATTTATGATCGTAACAAGTTTAAAAGTATCATATAGTCATATACCGTATGCCAATATATAGATAGATAGATAGATAGATAGATAGATAGATAGATTCTTTAGATAGATAGATAGATATGTATAAATAAGAAAATATAACATTAACATTAGCAACATTTTCTTTGATTGGTATTCTTCCAAACTCTTGGCACGCACGCGCTTGTAGTTTGAGAAGGCCGAACTATCTTGCAAGGGTTTGACCTTTTTCGTCCACCTACGGTGGTGCAGTGCATCGTAGATCAGAATGTTTGTGCCAGAAACATTTGGTCAGCAACCACAAGACGACCACCCCAGTCACCAAATTTCTTCCTGGCAAGATCATCATTCTGCGAATTCTTTAGCAGCATGGATAAAGTTGAGTTCCGCAACTGTCAGGATTCCGCAACTATCCGCAACTAGGATTCCGCAACATTGTGGATTCCCTCACTAGGATTCCGCAACTTTGTGAATGATGAGGGGGTTGGCGTGATGTCGAGATCACACGATGGGCACGAGGGGGGGTTGGGTGGGGGGCTAATGACGTTGGTTTGTATGTGCTTCCAAGATGATGTCACAGGCGCACACGCTATCGCATGATGTGGAGATCACCAGTTGCAAAATACCAGTTTCAGAATGTCAGTTGCAGAATCCGAATTTCCAGTCTCAGAATACCAGTTGCAGAATCTGACTTTCCAAGGTCTCAGAATATAAGTCTCAGAATTCCAGTTTCGGAATCCTAGTTTCAGAACCCCAGTTTCAGAATCCTAGTTTCAGAACCCCAGTTTCGGAATACCAGTTTCAGAATCCAAGTTTCAGAACCCTAGTTTCAGAATCCGACCGATTATATAGTTTCCGAATCCGGCTCTAACCGCCTGTAGCGAGGTCATGCAAGGTCACTTGAAATTATGACCAAAGTTATCAGAACTCAGTCTAGACGGCTTGCGTTTAGAAGAGGGAGAGAGAGAGAGGGAGAGACTGACAGCAAGACATGGCCATTTCATGGAAAGCCTTTCACTGGGCATTCAGGGAAATCCGTTCCCTTTTTGGACCATTCGAATGGCAAGGCAATGAGTGTGCAGTTGGCTTCTACCTTTCAAAGGCCCTATCTTGTGGCAGATTTAAAATGCAATCCCGCCCTTTTGGATTGCTGCATGAATTTGTCCCGAAGCTTTTGCCTGGATTCAGGATGGGAAGGCTTGCCACAGCAAGTACGCCTTCTTTGCTCCCTGCGCAAGCCCTGTTGCTTTGCTCCTCTTGGGTGGCCTGAGTAGGATACAAGACACGCTAGCTCAAACGCCAGCAAAAATCCAGGGCAGGGCCGGCAAAGAAGCGAAAACTTGAGGTGTTTATGCAATCTTGGGCGTGTTCTTGCTGACCATGGCCTCGTAGCAGCCTCAAGACGTTGTGTGGTCACGCGGAACTGCGCAGAGGATAGAACTGCATGAGGTGGTACCTTTGGTTGAGAAAGCAGCGTCGCACTGAGTCCACACATTGCAAGTTGAAACAGGGGCCCGAGCGGAGAGCAGGTTTGATTTTGCGTAGGGACTTTGAGCTGATCAGGCCAATCGTCAATCTAAGAGTGTTGAAGCGTGCGGTCATACGCCGCCACCACATGAACTTGCGAGCCTGATGCTAAGTGCCAGAGCTGCAACAAATGAAGATCGCACAGTCATAAGTGACCTCAATTGTTTCAGCGTGCTCCTTGCCAAGGATCACACTACGCAGCAGCACCCTTGGTGACCCACAGTGGGAGTAGAGGCGCCTCTTTACTGGGAGATGAGAGCTCTTGAAAAGCCAGGTACCCACTGTCAACCAATCTATGCCGTGCGAGAGCTGATGGGCACATTGTTGGGGGCAGGGCATTTTCCTCAAGGACCTGCGAGTGCACGAAGAGAAGAGCAAGCAAGTTGCATTTGAGGCCCTTTTGATGTTTTTCAGCTTTCAAGCCTTTGTGATCTCCTGGACTGCCTGAGCCTTCAGGAAAGGAGACATGACAAAGCTTGTTGGCACTTTTACAGAGTTGATCCTAATTGCTTGCCTTAGGTTTTTGCAGCATGTTCCTGGCTCATGTGTGCTTGGGCAACATTGCCCTGTTTGGAAAAATCAGGAGCTCTGTGAGAGAGATGCCCTGCTGCAGTGCTGCAAGTAGTGCTGCAGCTCATATCGAATTCATAGAACGTTTTGATGCCAGGTTTCAAAAGCGCCACTACTGAGTGAAGGCACCAGATAGACGATAGCCCCGGGCTGTAGCATGATCACCCCTGCCAGGCAAAGTGTCAGGAGTGAAAGAGGACATTTTCTCCATTTGCAATGCCACCTTGAACGAACTGGGAGGTGAAAGGCTGGCTGGCTATTTTTCAATTGCCATGTAGAATGACCCAACAAGTCGGTTTTTGTTGATCATTCGTTTGATGGCAGACAGGCAGTCTACAAAAGTGGGAAAGCTGGCTTACACTCTGGCACTGCACTCCAAACTCAACTCAAACGCTCCAGCAAAGAGGCAAAATAGTCGAAAAAACAAACCATCACTTCACGTCTGAAGGTATTTCTTCACAACTTTGGCGACTTTCTTCTATGCTGGAGCCCTGGCCTGAGCCATGCGTCACTGCATCATGTCGAAAGCCTCAGGCAGTTTCCCAGAGCCGTCGGCGCGTTCGTCTGGACACTGACGAGGAGTCTCTATGGTTCAAGGTGAGTCACATTGGACGTTTATGGAATGTACTGCCAGGCCACAATGAAGGATTTTGCGGTGATGCTAAAGGGCTTCCCTTGTGAGACCGGGAGTCAGGCCACGAAGTATTGCCACGGGAGGCTTCTAGGGCAGCATTGCCAGGCAAGATTGTTTCTCGGTTTCCACTGTCGTGCCACAACTCGCGCTAGGTCGAGCAGCAGCGTCTATCCTTTGTTCGCAAGACCACTGGGCCAGGACCTCTGGGTATTTGCGGCAACACTGCGCAGAACAAGCGTGAATGCACTTGGATTGAAAGGAAAGAATCAGACCGGGGTCATTTATTCACTTCAGAAAGCTGTAGGTGCAGCACGTAGACATGTTCAATATTGTTCAATCATGTTCATGCTCTCCTGCGTGGTCAATGCTTTTGGCCTTGCTGACAGTAGGACTCTGCTTTCCTTCGACACAGTAGCACTGAGGTGCCACCCCATTGGGGTCTCAATCTGCTGGGCATACAATGCCAAAGAGGCCCACAAGTCAAAGTCAACTTGGCAAAGTACTGCATTTGTCGAGCAGGTGACTGAGCTCATAGCCAGGGAAACCTGGCTGTGGGGCAAGGCTTCGCTTGTACGAACAGACATGAGATGACATCTTTAGACACATATTTTTCGGCAAAGCTATATTGTGAGCTCCGCACTGAAGTACTGTAGCAGGTTCGTGACAGCTGTGGTGATGTAAGGCAGGCAAACATGCCACCGTCTCAGTCCCGCATTCGGCATTCTGATTCTAGGCGAAAGCTCCTTGTCGATTGCACACACGCTATTGTTTTTCTGCCAAGGCCATTGCAGCACAACGAAAGAAGCAAGAACCTTTAAGTTCGTTTGTTTTCAGACTATATCCGCATGTGCGGCTCATGACTCCCACCGCTTACACTGTTGCGTTCTCCTGTTGCGTTTGAGGATGTGGACTGATGCGGTCTTTCTTTCTGTTCCTCACGCACTTGATCGCGTGGATCTTGGACAATTTCTTCCGACCTGTGCAGTGATGAGTGGAACGTCGCTTTGCAAGGCACCCCCGACACAGCCTGAGGCGGGCATTGTCAAAGTGCCCTGAAGTGAAGGAAACACTGGAGCAGTTATATATGACTGTCTTAGGGTCTGGCAGGCTTGGGTGGACAGTTGTCATTCCATAGAGAGTTCAGAACCTGTGTCCATTTTGGCTCAAGTCTGATCCAAACTGGCAGGTTCTGTGTTTTCTTCAGGAGTGACCTGGCAGAAGACTTCATGCCAGCGAGGGTCAGGGAGGGGATTGATGTTGCCCTGTTTACGGACTTGCAGGTACTTACCCCGGCGGCATGGCTGGACTTCACGTCGCACATCGAGTCCATGTTGGCTGCTGGGAAGCGGGATTCCGCCTTGGTGCTCTGGGAGTCCGTGGTCGAGATCTTTCATGTGGGGTCCAGAGGTCCCCTGTTCCCGGTGCGAGCGACGCCTGGGAGGGTTCCGGTTCCCCTGGGTTGGGACTTGGACGCGTCGTGCCGTTGTGGTCCAAACCGGCGCTACACCGCAGAGTGCATGGGATGCCTATCATGCCAATCCGGCCACCTTCGACCTTTTGGGGCTGCAGATGGTTCGCAGCCAGCTGGATCGAGAAGCGATCTCGCCAGCACACGTTGATCGGCTCTCCACCCGCTTGGCCTATGACAGGGATGGCATTCCCTGGAGCCATGCGGTGGCCGTTTTCAGGATTTGGCAGGCGGGACGCCGTGCCTGGCGGGAGCCAACCCGCGTCGGATGTCCTCAGGCCGGGCAAGCCGAGCTCATCCAAGCCGGAGCGCTTCTTCGGCACCTTCTCGGAGCGACCGAGATCGACGAGCCCTTCATCCCTCCCTACTGCCTCATGTGTTGTTGTCCCACTCGGTCCGTCTGTCTGTCCTGCGATCGATCGGTGTGCGAGGACGGCTGCATCTGGACGTTCCAATGTCCGCTTTGCATGGGCAGCTCTAGCTCGGAGTAGCGCTGCAATCCTAGCTGGTGCCATGGCGTTCGATGGGCGCTATGCAGCTGAGGCGGTGGGAGCTATGCCGGGGTGGGACCCCGAGCGGGCCAACGCGCGGGTCGAGGAGCAACGCGCTCGGCAGCTGCGTGACCACTTTGGTTTGCAGCGAGATGAGGACCTGGCCTACGCCTTCGAGTCCTTTGAGGATGCAGTTCGGGCCGGAGGCCAAGCCCTAGCTGTGCACCGTACCAAGGGAGTGACCCTCACGGGCGGTGCCTTTGAACCTGGGAATGTGATTCGCCGTGCTGAGGCCCTCAAGGACACATTTGTGGAGCTGGGGGTGATGCGACCGCATGCAGTGATGAACGAGCGGACGCAGAAAGAGTGGGAGCGGGCCCTCATGCGGCTGGCCGAGGAGAAGACTACCCACTCCGAACCCAGCACGATCCTGAACGCGGTCAAGACTTGGGTTGAACTCCGCACGTTCATGAAAGCTCGTGACAGGACCGTGGTGGAAGCAGTCGACTTGGCGGCTTTCATTCAGGACGGGACCCCAGGCCCATCTCGTGCCTTGAACGCATTGCGGTGGTTGAGCAAAGCAGGATCCTTGCAGTTCAACCTGACCAACATCGTGCTCCCCACGCCCAAGTCCAATCGGCAACGCAAGAAGCAACAGGCTATCGTGGTTGAGCCTCCCATGCTGCCTTTCCTGGAACAGGCCATCGCTCAATGCTGGGAGCAGTCGAACCCAAAGTGGTCCGCCCTATTGTCGTCATGGCTTATAGCTGTCGGAGTGATGAGGCACCAGCATTTGCTAAGGTCTGAGCCTGTGCGGTTGTCCCGGAGCACGTTGCACCTCTGGTGTGAAAAGGGCAAACAGTCCTCCAAGCGGGCGGCTTTCCATGGACGGTCCCAGCACACTTCGCCAACGGCTTTGGTTGGGCTGCAGCAATGTGCAGGCGAAGCGGGCGGGTACCCGCTGGCAAGCGTGAGTCTTGCGGCATCATCTTCAGCCCTGATGGTGTCGGATGGGCACTTCCTGAATGCCAACGATGCTGCCAAGAGCTGTTTGAAGGACATGCGCAAGACGCCAAGGATCTCACTTCGTACTCCTGGCGCCGGATGGGGCCGACCATTGGCCAGATCGGAGGGTTGGGTCCACTGGAGCTCAATGCACTGGGAGACTGGGAGGACCGTTCGTCGATCCCGGACCCGGCGGCTATGCCAGTGCATTACAGTGGAGGCAAGAAAGCCACTTCGATGAGGGTCAAGCATTTGGCGTACCAACTTGGGGCGTCACTCCGAGAGCACCAATCCTTGGATGTCATCACACCATCCGAGTTGGAGGAAGCCAAAGCCTTTGTGATGCCGACAGTGGATCGCTTGGTGTCGCAGGACATGGACACGGAGTGGCAGGGCAAGCTCCCGGCTGAGCAAGCCAAGCGACCAGGGAGTCCGCCCGAGCAGCCCGTGCTTCCGCCGCAGCGGCAGGTGCTTCTCAAATGCCAGCCGCGATCAAGGGCAAGCTGCTGACCAAGTTCATGCGCAATGGGACACCTCTATGTGCCGACTTCCAGACGGACAGCTGCTCTCGTGATCCATGCCCTGAACAGCACTTGTGCGCCATTGTCTTGCAATCAGGCCGGGCATGCGGCGGTTCCCACAGTGCGCAGACCTGCTACGCCCGTCGGTCGGGCCCTGACGGACGAGCGAGCTGCCGCCAAAGGCCTGCTTCCCCTGGCCCAAGAGCCTGCGGTTCCCACTGAAGCCCCGGCCGAGCCAGCCGAAGAACCACAAGAGGAACCGGACTATGATCCCCCATCCGAGACAGAGTCAGAAGACCTCACAGTGGTTGCACCAGCGGAAGTCAAGGCTGCACCAAAGCCTCCATCACCACCGGCAGGCGAGATCATCAAGGGCATCCCACCAGCTGCAGCCAAAGGGCGGAAGCGATCCGCCGAGCAAGTGGCTCCTGCAGCGCCAGCCAAGAAGGTCAAGGAAAGTCCAGTCCCGGCGCCTGCCACCCCAGCAGCCGAGCCATCACCTGCACCGCCATCAGCCACAGAAGAAACCAGGTTTGCGATGCCACCAATTCCAGCCAGCTTTACAGCAGCCACCGAAGACCAGCAATGGGACAGGCTTGCAACAGTGCGAGGGAAGTCAGCCCAAGCACCCACGCTGCTGTTGTCCACTTCGGCCGGAGGAAAGCTATATGGTTGGGAGGCATCCCTACCCGTGCTTCAGCACCACACTTCCCACAGGTCACCTTGCAGGTGGCGTGCTTCCCAGAGCACCCCGGAGAGCCGCGGGGGCATCGTCCTCCCGAACGCGCTGCTGCGGCATGGCCGATCGCGAACGCCCAGCGGGCAGGAGCCATCTGGCGGGAGCTGTGGCCGCTCATCCGGCAGTCATTGTGGTGTGGGGAGAGCGTGTTGCTGCACTGCATCTCAGGGCGCCGCGGGGGGAGGGACCCTCTGCCGTGCGGTCATGTTGTCGGAGCCATGGGAAGAGAGCGCAAGGTGGCTGAAAACGCAGCGAGACACGGACCTGCCAGGGCTGATGCGAGACCAGAAGGTTGCAAGATTCCTTCGCGAAGCCAGCACCAGTACGGCTCTGGGGAGCCCCTGGCCTCAGCCTACATGGCGACCGAGCGGAGCTCCCTGCGCGTGCAGGGGTTCACGAGCGTGCCTCTCTGTTTCCACAAGCAGGGGGCCGATCGTGCGAAGCGGCTCACTGATCCTATGACGACCACCGATATCCTGGAAGCCATAGCGTGGGGTAGACCTTGGTGCCCTACTTGCCTGCAGCGCGCACCAGCATCTTGGCACCCACGGTGATCCGCAGCGGCAGCGATGCCGCGTGGTGGAGAGGGACTCCACTTTTCATAATAGCTGGTTGGTCAGAGCGACCGCCATGTGGGCGAGAAATTTTGGGAGGTCGTGCAAACGCATATGGCCGCCCCGGCGCCCAGTACCTCGATCAGAGCAGCTCAGAGCGAGTGTGCGACAAATGAATCGGGGGGGGAGATTGACGCCGGGGGGATGCGGGTAGGGCCTAGGAGACGAGGCCGTCCGGGTTTCCTCGCATTCGACCGCTGGGTCCTTCCCCCACTTTCAAGTCGAGGTTTCCCCCCCCCCCTCACTGAGGCTGGAGGCCTGAGTAGGGAGTGGGAGAGTGCGCCGTTCCCCCGGGGCGATCCGAAGGAACCATGGCGTACTGGTTTCAACCAAGTTCGAAGATCGGCTTGACCTCGCCGGAGTTGAACCGGTTGGGTGTGTCCGTGTCTTCGTGTCGGTCCTCTCTTCCCTCACCTCTTCTCCCCATTTTAAGTATCTTGGGAGTGAGGCGGATCCACTCCCATGAAGCCACTGCCCGGGCGTCGCCCGGAGGGTTTATGGGCGGGACCCAACCTTAGCCATTTCAATTCAATCTGGGGGTCATCATGGCGAGTCTCTCTTTGATCCCAATCCAGGGGAGTGACCCCAAAGCGGCATTGGCAGCTCTAGGGAAGAACTTTGACCTAGCGCCCGAGATCGTTGAAACCCTGGTCAAAGCCAAGATCAACAACTTTGAAGAGTTTCGATTCCTGTTCTCGGATGGCGCCCAAGTTGAAGCATTCGTCCAGAAGGTTAAGATGGGGGAAGACCACCTCATCCAAACGGCCAGGCTCCGGCGGGCTTGGGCAGCGATGAACTTGTACTTCACCTAGGCCGAACAGGACAGATCTAAGGTGGTGACATCGGACCTGGACTCACTCTTGGACGAATCGGAGTTGCGAGATTCGAAGCAATCCTTTTGGCGGCGTTACCGTCAGAGGTTCCCCCCTGAGGTCCACCCCTCGGACGCGACGATCTCGAGGGTGTCTTGCGAAATGTCTAAACGCATGTTGTGCATCTACAGCGTCTGGAAAGTGAAAACTCTCCAGCACCAGTTGCTCACTAGCCAAAAGAAGAGGAAGCTGGGGGAAACTCTGCTACTTGCCTACGCGATGGCGGGGGTAGCCCAACCAGCGACCTCCGACCCTACCTTTGATGCAAAGAACGAGGCGATCCTCGGCTCTGACAGCACGATGTACGCCGTCGCTCCGCTGGATATTTGCATGCAATATTTTTTTTTCGCGCTAAGAGGACAGCAGCTCTCATCCCAGCCTCCAAGCGACTGCAATGGCTCCAGACTCGCGACCTGGAAGAACGCAGTGAGTGGACATCGAGGTTCAGGGAAAGCACCGCCACCCTCGGCACGATTATGAAAGAAGTCTACCAAGCGCGTGATGCGCACTGGATCCCCCCAGTGGTTGCTGAAGCCCCGGTGGGAGTGACCCCCGGTCAATCGAGCGGCAGCAGTCAGAGCCTGCCGAGCAAGATGGTCCTCGGGAAGCCCATCAACGGCAAGCAAGTTGCCAAGGTGATGAAGGATGGCACTGCCCTATGCGCAGCCTTCCAGCAAGGAGCCTGCAAGACCAAAGGGAAGTGCCCGCAGGGCGCTCATCGGTGCGGGGCGATCCTCAAGAAAGATCGAGTCTGTGGAGCATCTAGTCATGGGGCGGGGCAGTGTCGCACTGCTCCGAAGGCAGCTTGAAACAGCCCTGAGGAGGCCCTCCTCGAGCGCAGAGGACCCAGTCCCAGGGCCGTCGATCTGAGCCTCTCTTGATGGTAGACCTCATGGCTGGACCCAACGCCCCATTGACCAAGGCATTCATCTTCTGTGGATGGCGCACGATCACGGTGGATTGGCTCATCGATGCCTCGCATGACTTGTCACATCCACTCCGGCAAGCCTCTCTCCACGAGCAGCTGCAAGATGCGGCTTTCTTGTTTGCAGTGCTGGATTGCAGCACAAAGTCAAGGGCGCGTGAGATCCCCATCACCTTCTCCGACGGACGGCCAGGACCACCACCCTTGAGGTCCAAGCAGCACCCAGAAGGCCTCCCCAACCTCTCGGGACGCAACAAGGAGAGAGTGGCGACAGACAACGCCGCTTGCCATTGGGTGCTGGACGAGATCCAGGCCCTAGCCCAGCGTGGAGGTGGTTCCAGGCAACTCGCTCCATTGGGAGTTACCCAAGGAGCGCGAGATGATGCGGACGGGGCTTTGGCAGGACACCACCTATTCAGCCTGCTGCTTCGCCGGCGCACGAGCCAAGCACCAGCGGCTCCGCCACAATATCGAGGAGATCAGTCGGTGGCCGACCCTGCGTTGCAACCATGTCCATGCCCCTGAGGAATGGGCCCCATTTGAAGTGGATGGTGCTAAGGTTTTCCCTAGCAAGGAGGAGGCCGAGTATACAGCGCCGCTAGCTTTCTCCATTGCAGTCTCCGTCTCGTATTGGGCAGTTCGGACAGGCCACGCCAAATTGAAGTTAGGCAGGCTTCCACCAGTGGAGACAACAGGCCATCGAGCGCATTGGCTCTATCCTCTATCTCCCTCCGTGAGTGGGCGATGACACCTATGGCGATTAGCTTCGGCCTTCTACCGCCAGATGCCAAGGAACGGTCCCGGGTGTGTCGAGTCGTCTCAGTTGACGAGGTGATCCATGAGGGCAGCCTTCCAGCTAACCACGTCTACGTCGACCAGGGCCACCACCGACATCGGCTACCAACTACCAAATGGGCACCTCCATGCACCCCAGGTGAATTGCTCAACGGACGACTGGTTGGCTTTCTACGTTACCCACATTCGCGAAACACTATGGGGCAATCTCTCCGAGCTGCAGCACAAGGTGCTGGTGAGTGACACCGGCGGCGGACCATTGTGCCCGGCGACAGCGCTGGCCGGCCTCGTGTTCGACTATCTGTCACCGCAGGCCCCGGCGCATCACCACAAGGCGGGCAGTCAAGCCAAACCAGCTAGCCTCCAATCCGCGAGGATCCTCAGAGTGGTCTCCATCTCAGGGGTCAATGCAATGGCGCCTACGCAGCTCTTCCCGCAGGAGAGCGTGATCCTGGCGTTCAAACGCCTTTTCCCCTACGAGTGGTTCGCTGGTTTTCGTTTCCCGCTGGTTGAGGACCTTGTCAATGACTTCCCATTCATCAGCTATCCGACCTGGAGAACCCAACGAGGGTTGGATTGGGATGGACCTCTGGGACCGCTGGGAGGGACCCAGCATTCCCGACTCATGCAACGCCATGCTGAAGGCCAACAGGCAGGTGCACTGAGTCACAAAGCGGCTCTACCACCGCTTCTTAGCTTTGGCCTGTCCGTTGACGACCACTTCACGCAGTCGCTGGCGCTTGGGCAGTAACCATTGCCCAGGGAGAGGCTTCCGTTGCTCGACGACGACCTCTGGTTTTGTGCCGAGCACCACTGGAAGCCACCAGCTGAGCTTTGTGCCTTGCGCCGACGAGCCATTGGGGCCATCAAGGAATTGAAGCAACGGTGGAGCCCAGTTACAGCCCAGCTGCGGCGACTTCAGACCCCAGCCATCCGCCGAGTGACGGCGAGCCGCGACCTGGGCTTAACCGCCCTCTTGATCATGCTGATGTCTTGGGCTGACACCACTTACCCCTACGGGTTGATCAAGGGCATGCCAGCGGTGGGCACAGCCCCGCCCTACGGCATCTTTCCGGTCCAGGAAGGAAGAGAGATTACCCTGGCAGATGTCCTGGAGGGATGGCAGGACCACAACTCAGGCATTATCCAGGGCTGCACGATAGCGTGTTGCTTGAACAGAGCGAAGCTGACGCTGAGCATGGTTTCTGTACGGAGCCGATGAGGCACGCGCAGCTCCTCCGGCACCTCAAGGGTGCCCCTCACCGGCTCATTCCAAGATGCATCATTGTCCAGTCCAGCGGCAAGAAGCGGATCATCGACAACGGGGATACAGGGGGCCAATCCGAGCGTTCCTCCGATTACAACAAGCTGACCTTATGCTCCCCATTCAGGCCGGCTCAGCACATTGCCGCTGTGGCTGCGTGCGCTTCCTCCGCTCAATGGCACTCTCGTCTGGAGTGGGACTCCTTCGAGAGCGGCGGTGAGGACTGGCCTAATGCGTATCGAGGAACACCCATCTCACATGAAGAGTCTCTTGGTTGTGTGGTAGCGTTCTGGCATGAGCAATGGCAGCAACCAGCTTTCCAGTTGTATCATTCTCTGTTGTTTGGTTTGCCGCTGGCGGTCACCAGCTTCAACAGATACAGTCGGCTGGCAGAAGCTCTGGGCCGCAGGTTGTGCCTCTGCCTCACCTCTCTCTATTTCGATGACGCGAATATCGTTGATTGGAAATCTTCGAAAGGCTCTGGCCAGGCAGCGTTCAACCAACTGAATGTCCTCATCGGCACGCCCTTCGCCGAAGAGAAACGCCAAGCCATGACGGCCAGTGGCATTTTCCTTGGTTTGCATCACGATTTACGTACAGTCAGCGAGGGCTTTGTCCGTTTTTGGCCTCGAGACAGATTGATCGCCAAAATGGAGGCGTTTCTGAACGATGCACTCAGTAGCTCAACGCTGGCCTCTGGCACGGCGTCGAAAATTTACGGCATGATGGCCTTTTTGGAACAAGGCCTGTACGGGAGAGTAGGGTGCAGCGGCCTACAGGCCATTAAGGCAAGGCAGTACGAGACAGACCGTTGCCTGACGCCAGCATTGAAGGAAAGCTTGCAGCTGATCCAAGCTGTTCTCCAACTCCGGCCGGCTAGAGTGATGGAAGTGATCCACCCCGTGGTACCAAGGTTCATTGTGGCATCGGATGCAGCCCTTGAAGCACCTTTCGCAGGCACAGGCGGCTTCCTTATCATATGGTTCGACGGGGCGGCAGAATTGCGTGAAGCTTTTGTTTCTCATATGCCCAGGTCTTTGTACAGCCTGTTCACTCCCGGTGAGAAGAAGATCGCTCAGCTCGAACTTGTTCAACTCATTTTTGCGCTGACGACCAGGCCAGACCGTTTCCGAGGCAAGCGAGGGGTCTGGTTCCTGGATAACAGTGCCGCCCTCATGGCACTGATCCGGGGACGATCGGATGCGGCAGACTTGGAGCGCATGTCACAAATTGTGCATGTTTTGCTCTTCGGTCTGCAGTGCTGGATGTTCTTCGAGTGGATCCCCTCGAAGAGCAATTGGGCTGACGCTATCAGCCGATTGGGCTTTCAAGACCCATGGCACGTGAAGAAGGGATTTACTCAATCCGAGGCATTTTTCCCATTTATCCTGTGGCAACTGCCAGTTGCTAGCCTCACTCGCGTGGCCGAATACTTGTAAGTGCGTTGGGGATTTTAAAGTGCTTTGGGTGATATCTGGAGTGACCAGATGAAACCCAGCCAGGGGTGACCTGGCAAGGAGCCAACCGGTAAGGAAGCGATCCTTACCTACCCAACGCAAATAGCCTGTACGACATACAAGCTTCGGACCCGACTAGGGCTTGACGGAAAAAGCGCGGAGTGTGTCACACAAGACAGGGTCCTAACACTCTAGGAATGTATTATGCATGTATATATGCATAGAGTTAGTTATGGTCCTGGTTGTTTTAATAGCAAGGTTTCTCAGCCACTTACCTCCCTTGTCTTCCTGAATGGACCTCAGGATGCCGACTTGGGCAAAGCCAGACGGCATGAAGAGCGTGTTGCGCGCTCAGGGGAAGCTGCCTGCCCAAGCCGTTCGAGACAATTTTCGGCATGCGAGGCCGTATCTGCCGCTGCCAATGCGCAATCAACCAGACCGAATCTTACTGACTGTCATTTTGAACATATGTTGACCTTGACAAAGTTTTTCACTTGAAGATCTTGGAGTTCTTGGAGCCCCACCTTCTGTGCCAAGGCTTCATGTACGTGGTCTTTCGATCTGAGCTTGCCTGTGCTTGCTTAGTAACCTTTCAGACTGCACAGCATAGACATAGGTTTTGTCACCATGCCAGGACTGAGCGGGTGAGGGGCTCAGAGGCTCTAGCTTGGGGCAATCGCTGAGTTGGCTGGAATGATGTGGGATGATCGTTTGTGGGATGCACTCAGGATCATGCCAAGAGGGTCTTTTCTTGCGAAAGTGAAATCCCGCTTTATCGTGGGAGATGGTCTCAGAGCCAATTGCATAGGGAACGGCTTCAATGAAAGACTTCTTGACCAGGCTAGCTGTCCAGTATGAACGTGAAGGAAGTGGCTCAGAGCCTGAAAATGCAACGTTCTCAAGGTTTACAGCAGTGTGTCTGGAGCAAAGCAGTAGACAGTCAAGTTGAACGGTTGAGACACTGCAGCTCCTTGGACAGAACCTTCCAATGAGTGATATTGTCGATTAGGTCCCTTGGCAAAACTTCAGCAATGATGCACAGGTCCATATCTTTGCGCGATGTGTGCTTGTACCATAGTGATCCAGTGGACAATGGCACCTTGCAGGGTATGCGATATCGAGCTTTGACTTCAGTATGTGCCATTGCTGGTGCGATTTTGCTGTGGGGTCTTGAACTTGGGCATCGCGGTTCATGAGTCGAGTGGACACTGCCAGTGCTCTCCTTGAGCTGGTGTTGCGAGGTCTTTTGTTTTACTTCCCTTTCGCAATGTATGAAGCCTGAATCTTGGAATGGCCGTCCATGGCTCTTCTGAAAGAAGCTGAACCCGATCTACTCTGAGGCCTGGTCATACTCAGCCTTGGGCCGGGCTCTTGATTAACAATAACAATCCTTTGCAGTACAGATGCTGTGATGTCGTCTTTCATTTTGTGAGGCGAGCCAACAGACTTTACCTCTGAAACAACCTTCAGCATGTTGGTTGTGGTGCAGCGCTTGGTTCTCTTGGCACGAACTTTCAGTTTTGGCGCGGAGAGACTATGAATGAGACATTTCCTGCTGCACTCCACTTGGTTTCCTCGCTTTGGTTCAACGAGGCTGGCAACCAGATCTTATACTTACTTTGCGAGAAAGCCTCGCAGTTCATTGGCTTCCGCTTTGCCGCTAGCTGAGCCCCTACTTACTCTGATAAAAGTAAACTTGGATTGTGGTTTCATTGGGGTGCTTATCCAACCTTTTTCCAGGCGAGCCAGCAATTGACTGCATACATTGGGCTTTACACGTCGCAACCTTTGTTCAGAGCATCCAGAGAGTCAACGGGTAAGAGTTTTTAAGGGAATTTGTTGATGCTCTTTGTTTTTCTACTATCCGCCTAGCTGACACGAGGATGGCGCTCTTATCCAATCTTGCCATTGACTTGGCAATTCTTTTCTACACGACCCGGATAGCAATGGAAAATGTGGGCCTGCCCCTTGGAACCACAGAATGTTGCTCAAAGTTCAGTTTCACAGAAAATCTAGGAACCAAATCATTAGTGCGAGAGCTTCTTCAAGGAAGCTCACCCCTGCCCTCAGGCGGGGGGAGCTTCGAAGAAGCGTGAGCTATCCTGCGTCCATGCTAGTAGCTTAAGTAAGGTACTAGCTACCTCTCACTTAATTAAGTAGGCGCCTACTTAATTGAGTAGGGAGGGGGGGAGCGGGCTAAAATAAAGGCTGAAGCTTTGTTCATCTCAACCGAGGCCTTGACGTAACCCGTGCGGCCTTCCTGTTGGGCAACGATGAGTGCGCCTGCGATTTTGTGCCTCTCAGAAAGCAGCCACCGAGCCACAGCATTGTGCCAACCAGGATGATTTGCTTTCCAGTCAGAGCTGGAAACTCAGGTTGCCGGAATCTAGAAACTGTAGGATATTTGGTTTGCCCACGTGCATTGATTTCTGTGCCTTCAGGCGCGAATGGGGGCCCGGTTGATGTCCTACAACTTTCCTGCATGTTTCTTGCTGCCATTCTTGCAGGGAACCCAAATTTTATGAGTGAAACAATAAGCTACTAGGAACAAGTGCATCGCTACTAGTAACAAGTGCCTTACTAGTAGTAACAAGAAGCTATTAGAAGCATGAGATGTCATGAGGTTATGAAATAGACCTTCAACTGATTGCAGTTGGTCCTGAAGAGAGAGATGCCAAAGTGCCAAGGTGTGAGGCTTTGTCCTGGCCTAAGTTGCAAGGGGCACTCTGCTGGTTTGCTGTACCATGCCCTGCTTTGGAGAGGTTCACGGTGATAGTGCCGTATCATATCTACAAGAAGGTGGTAGGCACTCAACCTATCAGTCCGAATCATAGCTTGTTCAGCCTAGGTGGCCTAAATGAACAGTGTGCACTGTCAACTCTCATAATAAGGTCAGAGAGCAGCCGACGCTTTCTTGCTGCTATCTCCTTTGCTTCAAAACGGGAGGGCCTTTCACAGAAGTTTGACAGCGAAACCTGGTGTATGCTCAGGCCACCTTTGTTTGAAATGGGTCGATATGCTGATGTGGACCACCCCTGAGCTGAACTCTTCTCAGAGGTTAGAAACACACTACTTACTTTCCCCAGGTTCTGAACATGACGCAAGCAACCATCTCTTTATGCTTCAGCGCAGGACCCCAAAGTTTTTGTTGCTGTTTGAAAGCAACTACAAACTTGCAGAATAGTGGAGGCTACGTTCTTCCAACTTTGGTGGGCATGTTCATCGGCCACACCCTGGTATATGTGACTGCCTGAGAGTCCTGAGAGCATTCACCATTTCGATGGAGCCTCCTGCCCGAGCAGGCTTGGGATCACTACAGGGTGCTGAGACACGTTTGGCTCCCTTTGTGGGGGCGACTTTTTTTTCAGGGGCCGGGGCGGGGGCAGGCAGGCCTTAGCGGTAGGAGTCGCTACTAAGGGCTTAAGCAGCTACTAGCTACATCTAGCTAGTGGACGCAGAAGGGCTCAGGCTGCTTCAAGGAAACTCCCCCCTACCCTCAGTCGGGGGGAGTTTCCTTGAAGAAGCCTGGAGCCTTGATGATTTGGTTCTCAGATGTTCTCAGACTTTTTTGGGGAACAGGGCTGCTGCAGCTCTATTCAATGGAGGAAGACCGTGCAGTTGCAGTTTTCTAAGGTTCGCAAATTCAGATTTACCTCCTTCCGCACGGAAAAGGCCAGACATCACTGTTGAGATTCATGGGCCCCATGCCAGAAAGACGAGACCAATTCGCTTCAACTGAGGCGGCTCAACGAATGCTTGCACTTCCAGGGGCGAGTTCCAAGCCTGGTGCATGATGTCATCTCATGATGTCATCTCTCTGGAAGAAATTCATTGAGACACATCTTCAGCTCTTTGGGCTTGCCACAGCTTGCCACAGGCCTCCTTGCCAGTGCCATGCTTCAATTGTTCCAGGCCAAAGTGATTATGTGTCATTGAGCTGCAGCCACAAGTGCCACAAATCAGTACGTGATGAGAAACTTGTTTGTGGGCGTAGCTTCAGCGTGAGAAAAGCCACAAGGTTGGTGCCGTGGCAGTCTCAGCACTGTCTTCTTGGAAGTCCTTGAGGCACTGGGAATTGTCCCCGATTGGCCGAGGTAACACCTAGCACCGAAGCTGTGGCCGCAATTGTGATGATCGGTGCTGCCATAGCTCACATTGCCTTGCACCTGTCCGCATCTCAAAATCGGCGTCCTTGAGCTTTTGAACGTGAACTCTGCAAGACTCTACAAGGCTCGTGCTGCAGTACGTGGTGCCTTGGGTTGGAGCAACTGAGCACACAGCTGCAACGCAGACCTACGAACAGGCAGGAGCAGACTGAGCTGGGCAGTGTTGGTTGCAGAGCTTCGTAGTTTCCACAACTCAGTCAGAGTCTAGAGTCTCAGCTTTGATTAGACAGAGGTTGCGAAGATGAATCCGGGGAATTGGTTCAACATGAATCCGATCCACTGCTTGCGGTCGAGGCGGAGCATTTAAGCTTACAACCTAGACGCCTGCAATTGCAGTCAGGTATGTTCATCAACATGACCCGCCCTGTATCTTCTACCAGATTGGGAAGGCGAGGGTGTCCCCAGACTCTCCACTTCAGAGAGGTCACTTGGCAGGAGCATCTCCTTGAACCCAATGCCAAGCTCGGCCTGTTCTATAGCGCGCCGGAGTGGAAAAATGCACTGACCTTGGGTATCCCGGTGCCCATATGTTACTGAGAACCACGTAAAATAGCCACCGTGTGTTCAGCTTGGATGGGTGGCCTAGGAAGCGCCATCAACGTATTTGGAGTTGGCTCGGTGGTAGCCTTGGCACCAGCAGATTTGGATGAAAACCAGCAGGCACAAAGAAACATGAAGATGTGAGGCTCGCAAGACGATCCCTTGCACGGGGGACGTTGGTCGCCATCTCCTTACGCTGCAAACGCTTTTCTCGACACATCATCCTATGGTGCCAGGCTGACAGTGGCATGCTGCCACAAGGAGCTCGAGACGAGGAGAAACCGTGTAGCCAGATGATTTTCACAACTGCAAACTGCTTCCAACCTTATTCATCTTATTCAAAATCATTCAAAACCGCAGTTCGAGCATTATGCACCGGTACAAGTACAAGTCTACAGCAATGTTTATCGATTGACCTTCAGACATCATCACCCACGTAGCATCCGGAGTTTGTGCCTCCTGCCATGAAATGTCGCCCCAAGCAGCTATTGTTGGTTCATGATCCGAGCGTCACTTTTGAGACCCTGTACGAAGACGACCACGTGCTTGCGATTGCCAAACCATTTGGCGTTCTGGCTCACCCATCTCCTGGTTTCTGGGCCAAAGGTACTTTGGCCCATGCCTTAGTTGGTCGAGTTAGTGATGAAATGATGCAAGAAAGGGGTGATCACAACGAGTGGGACAGCTACATTCCACGTTGCATTGTTCACCGCTTGGACAGTGGCACCACCGGCGTGATGGTGATTGCCAAGAGCCCATCCGCAGAGAAAAGTCTTGCGCACCAACTCCGCGCTGTCGATATGCTGGACATGGCACATGAAGGCAAGAAACTTTATGTAGCCTTGCTCCTTGGTCACCCTGGCAGTGAAACGAAGTCATGTATCACAGCCAATGGAGCTATTGGCCGGCATCCCCAGAATGCAAGGCTGTGGGCAGTCATACCTGGTGGCAAGCCCGCCAAGACAATCTTCCGCGTTCATGCGTTTAGCAAAAAGCATGGCCTATCGCTTGTAACGGCGGAGCTTTTCTCCGGCAGGACGCATCAGATCAGAGTTCATGCCGCTTTTCTGGGTTCACCAGTTGCCAATGACAATTTGTACGCTCGGTCGCAGCTGCAATCCTTCCGACACTCGTTCGGCAAGGGCCTGGCGGAGCGCCGACAACTGCTGCACGCATGGGCACTCAACATAGAACACCCGCTAAAGCAACGACGGCGAAGCTTACAGTTGCGGGCGCCACTCCCGCAAGACATGGCGAACATTATCCAGCAGGTTTGGCCTGGTATGACGCTTAATCCAACGGCATGGTCTGGAATGCCTGGATGGCACAAGTCAGAAACACCCCGAGATCCAATGATGGCTTTCTGTGCCAATGCACGTCATGAGATGCTTGGCTAATGAGGAATGCGCATGTATGCAACTCCATGTCATGTTAAAACAATGTTAAAACACGTTGACCTTATGCTACCCTCGGATCACTAAGGAGTTAACGGAGGTGTGCCGATTTGGGCGTCCTTACTCATCAGCCAACGACTGCTTGGCAGATTTGCTGCCAATCCTTTCTCAGCACCCTATACATAGTGAAAATGATCAGCATCCGAGCATGCTTGAACAGTTTCAGAAGTGCTTTAGAAAAACCCATCAGAGGCACAAATCCTTGCTCATCAGAGGCTAGTATAATTGATTGGTGAGCTGTCTTAATCATGCCCCTAGTTGCCATTTGACAAAACTCCAGAAATTCAGGTGTGGCAAGGAGATTGGTCCAGATTGGACCTTGCTCATTACTAACACTTTGGCCCTTCAGTTGTCAGAGTTAGATTGAATCTGTGAGGCCTTCTGAGCTCGAGAAGTGGTGGACTGCTTGGTGGGAGGCCTCCGCAGAGGGCAAGGCTTGGCTTCGTGAGCGAGATGCCTGGGAGCAGCTTGGAGAGAAACAAAACAAAAAGCGTGCAAAAACGCCCAAAGAGGCCAAAGTTGCCAAAGCCAGACGGCAAGAGTTGCCAGAGCGGCCGCACGCTCCGAGACACGCCCGTCAAGCGTCCAAAAATGAGAGCCACATCGACGCCCTTTTGCCGCTGTTCAATCGGGTTGCTGCAGGAATGTTTGAGTTTTGCATATTTTGAGTTGCTAGTGACTTGTGGGATGAGTAGAGTTTGTCCTTGTGCGAGGAGCTTCAAAGAGAGCAGTCCTTGCCTCGGTCGGACTCGGTCGTTGTTTCATGTTGTTTCCTGTATTTCTGAGGAAGCACATGCTTTGAACATGAAGCTTGATTTGTCAGGGGATGGGGGTGCTTCGTACGTTATATTAATATATATATATATATATCGTTTTATATTATTCTCAGGATTTGTGCTGTTCCTGAGGAGGCGGTTGAGGAGCGTGCATGAGTTTGGTCTTCTGATTGTCAACAAATCTCGAACTGCAAGCTGCAGGATGGAAGCATGGCGGAAGCCCACAGGAGTCTGCTCCATCCACCGATCACTGCTCTTGTGTGCTATTCATGGAAGCTGCTTTGGTCAGGACAGGGCCCCAGGGGCAATCTGCAGGCAATCACTTGATATGGTCAGTAAGACTTCAATCCCAGTGCGCCTTTGCAGTCTGCTGATTTGTGTGACCAAGGCTTGAATATTTGCAATATTGTCATATATTTTCAATGATTCTTTTGACAGACCGCCTGGGGCTTCGCAGCACTTGGCTCGAGAGAGAGAGAGATGGAGTTTTTCGAGATTGTGCCGCGCCAGCCTGAGAGAGAACGGCCAAAAACTCCCAGAAGTGCCTCCTACTTTCGAGTGCATCGAGCAACTACTCCAAGACCACCTTCTCGCTCAAGAGCAGAGAGGGCAGAGCAAGACAGCGACGCCTGGCAGAGCAAGACAGAGCGATGGCGAGAATCAGGGCAGGTCCGTTGGCCACCAACCACCTGTGGACCTGACAGAGAGGCGCCCGAGGTTGTGCCTGTGCGACGATACAACGAGAATATGCAGCAGACCTGGCAAGGAGAGCTGTGGACAAGGTCCCTTCGCAAGCCTGGGGTTCTCATGCAGCACCCTACCTTTGCTGTATGCAACATAGGCGCCAAAGAGTTGCATGATGAATGGGGGCATGTCGTACCCAATTCCACACGGCAGTGGCCTTTTAGCGGGTCAACCGTGCCCAGCAGCTCGACGCTACCTGCCAAAGTGGATATGAAGAGATGGATCGAGCGCCCCGTTTCCACGGGAAAGTATGCAGTAGACCACATGAGAGGCACCAGATACCAGTGGGATACAGCACCTCGTCCGTGCTTGATCGGCATTTGACATGCAGATGAATGCAGACACTGCAGAAAATGGCTGCAAAGACTGCGTTGCTCTCTTTTTCTATGCCTTGCAAGCACCTCGCCAGTGCAGCCAGCAAAGGGTAGATAATTCACCGACTTAGAAATAGAGGTATGTTCCAATTCAAATGCCTGCAAAATACCGGTTCCATCCGGTTCCACTTTAGAGTCAGACGAAACGTCGCCGACTTAGACCTGAGGCACCTCAAACGAGGTTGGCACCTCCCCTTTACCTGTGCAGCACCTTCCAGACCAAAAAAGGTCGCAAGTTTGGGTCGATGTTGAGATCTCGATGCACGGAGCCTAACGGAGCCTCACGGAGCCTCACGAAGCCTCAAATGCTGTTGTAACATAATGGGCGATGGCCTCCAGGACTCCAACCTACTAGCGATGGCCTCCACCCTAGTAGCGATGGCCTCCAACCTAGAAGCGATGGACTCCAAAGGGTGCAATTCTGTTTGTGTTTGTCCAAGTTTTGTGTCACACCTCCGCCAGGTTCCAAGGCTGTCGAGAAGCCCCGCAAAAGTGTTGTGACCTTTGCGCAGATTCCTCAGCACCGGCTTCTTCGTGCCAACTGTGAGTGCTGCGCATAGCAGGCGCCAAGTTGGCGGTGGTTGATTGTTTTGTAAGCAACCAAGGTCTGATGAACATGATGCAGACCAAGATTAACTGCGATAGCCCGTGGTAGCATGTGGATCGAGTTGATGAACATTGACCCTTTGCCAGACCCTTAGAGTGGAAATGTCAGATTATTCTTGGCGACGAGCTATTTTCAAGTGAGCACGGCTTTTGTGCCGGGGTAGTTGCATAAGTTATACAGGTCTCTTCCTTGAGGCGGTGTGCCTAGCAAACTTGGGGTAGTTAAGTTGCCGATTTAGTTCAGTCCACTTCCTACAGTATGTTTGTTCTTCCTGCACTCTGTGGTTCGCAGTGTCCATAGTGTTCGTTATGCCACGGTCTAATTAATTGGTGGCAGTGTTAACGGCCAACAGACGTATGGTGTCAACAGAACGATGAAGAAAAGGTATTTGATACAGTAGTTATATTGGCTTGTTCAAAATTGAAGTTTGCAAAGCACAGCAGGCACGCAGCTACACTCCCGATTCCAGGATATAGCCTCATCTAGCCTTGTGTTTTGCAAAGAGTTGCCCCGCCGGTGCTCATAGGAGACAGGGAGTTGTACTGGTGCTGCTTGTGATCCTTCTGTTCAGACCGACCCGATATGGTCAAATTCCACCAAGACCATCGCAAATCTTGTGGATCGATGCAAATCAGGGTGCAGCAAACCATGGGTTGACTCACAACAAGCAGGCGTCACCAGCCTCAGCCTTTATCGTTCACCGATGGTCACCATTTTGCCAACGTTCCTGATAGATTGGCCAGACTTTGTGACGCGGGGTTTATGAGCAAGGATTTTGAGTTCACAGTGGACATCGTTTTCCTTGGTTCCAGACGGCAGTTGCAGCTTTGTGTTGAGGACTCTGACCTTGTGGGAGATGTGAAAGCCCGCCTTCGGGAATTGGGTCATGAGCCTGTGAAGCTCCTGTTTCATGGCTCAGCCCTTCCAGATGTTCGGACTTTGGGCTCTCTCGGTGTCGGCCCAACCGCCGAAGGCGTCATACCATCATTGTATTGTTTAGAGGCAGGTGCAGAAACATCAGAAGCTCGTGTTGCCAAAGAGGACCGGGAGAAGAGAGTGCTGCAGGTCGTGAACCTTTCAGGTGGCTCAATTCACCTCTCGGTGAAAGAGTGCGATACCGTTCGGCTGGTAAAGCAGTCACTGTCGAAAACTGTGAGCCTTCCAGCCGACCACATTTCCTTGCTCTACGAGGGAATGGAGCTGACCGATGATATTGTATTGTTTGACAATGCCATTTCCTCTGTGTTCCTTTTGGAGCGAGAGTCATCCGGCACAAGTGATGCAGAGCTGCCTGCTGTCAACCTTGTTCCGAGTGAGCCTAACATTGCAGGGGGGCTGCTTGACCGCCGGATTGATGGCTTGTGGTTTCGTGCAAAGGTGCAAAGGATGCACGTCCTGAACGAGACCTGCACGGTTGATATTCAGTACCTTGATGACGGAAATGTTGAACTTGGTGTGGAGTTGTCAGAATGTAGATTCTTAAACTGGCCGCCGGATTGATGCAAGCAGCCGGAAGGGGAACTGCAATTGGCAATAGAAGTTGCAACGAATGTCTTGTCGTCCTAAGCGGGCCTGCCGCCAGATTGATTCCAAGCTACTACTGCAAGCTCAGACACAGTGGCTGGCACCACGCCAGCCATCCGGCTTCGTTGTGACCAGAAGTTGATCAGAGAAAACCCGGTCACAACGCTGGATTTCTGACTCAACGTGTGATTCGATATAGATCCTCGTCGTCGTGCACTCCATGATTGTTAAGAGTTATGATATAGCTTTGGTCAACGCATCGGAACAAATCGTTCACTTAAAGTTGCTGTGCACGCCCGTGGGAAAAGGTGAGCTCAACCAAAAGGGAATGAATGAAATCCATGCGTTCCTTTTTGCATTCTTTGCTCTGCAGTGGCCGAAGTGGCCACAACCTGGTCAGTTGCTGCAGGCCTCATGTGGAACAGGAGTTGTTGCCCTGAACCTTGCGGAAGCTTGTTTGACTATGTCACTATGTTAGATTTGCATTCATATTTCAGCATGGTTTCCCAACTTGCACCTGCACTGAGGACTTGGTGGCTGAGCATCAGTGACTCTGGTTACTGCTTAGGAGGGAACACGAAGAACGAGCAGAAGCTTTGCAAAGATGACGGTCGAGCAAATGGTGTGAGCGGCAAGGATGACAGAAAAGAGAAAGAGGTCATCAAGTGTAGATAGTGAGACGGGAAAACACACATACAGCATGAAATTGACACTGCCGGTGCGGAAAACGCACAAATCTAGAAGTGTACCAAGCTTGAACGTTGAAGGGATTGTGCACAAATCATGAAGTGTACATCTGAAGCCCCTTTTGAAGCGAGGAAAATGACCGACAGCTGGTCAGCACGCGGGTTATGAGCCCAACTCCTTTTTAGGAAGACCACCATCCAGTTGGGTGTTGCTGGCCGCCATGGGTGGTGACACGCCGGATGGTTCGGGTGGCTCCATGGAGAGTGCTCGCGATGAGGAGCAGCTGGCCTTGATGGACCGCGAGACCACGGGGCTGGAGTTGGTTCCGTCGGTGCCGGCTGGGAGGCCGACGACCTATGGTCCTCAGAGGGCTCGGGAAGAGACGAGGAAGAAGGATGGGAAGGGTCATGGTGCTGTCCCATCGGTTGACGTCAATCCGTTTTGGAGCCAGACTCTGAAGGACGAGGTGATGCTGAGGGCTATGCGCCCCACTTCATTGCCGTCGGCGCCTACGACATCCTCCACGGTGGAGCACCCCACGGCTGAGGACATGGGAATGGACATGAAAGAGGTCTTCAAGATGATCATGTCACAAAATTCGATGCTCAAGAAGGAGCTGGCTGACCTGAAGAAGAAGGTTGAGGACTCCAATAAGGAGAGGGCTCGGGATTTCAAGGAGGCGGATCGACCAAAGCCTCCGACTACGACCGCTCCACCGAGCCCACCGACAGGTCCGCCGCCCGCTACTCCAGAGGCAGAGAAGAGGGCGGGCATGGCTGCTTTGGGAGCGATCCCGGAGTTTCCGGGAGGTGAGACTGGGGAACTACGTGATCTAGCCCATCGACGTTCGGGAGTACGACCTGAAGCCGATCGAGGACCCCCACCAGTACCTGAGTCTTGGTTGGGTTCGCTTCAGGCTGGAGCCCACGGAGGAATGGGCTATGATGGGAGAGATGTGGTTGGAACGCATCGTCAAGGAACCCATGGAGGGCTTGGACCTGGACGCGGAGTACTACCAGACTGCGCGGTGAGGAATGGGGAGTTGAGCAAGGGATCACCCTTGGAGCAGGCCGCTCAATCGGTGTTGCGACAGCTTGGCACAGGAGCCACGGAAGGCAGCTGGGGGGAGGTGATCCGCTCCGTTGAGTTGCCACCCTTGCCGGAACTTCGAGAGGGAGAACTGGGCTCACTGGTTTTGGGTGATTGGATTCAGCTCATCTCGCCCACTATGAGGGACCTCAGCGCAACTTCATGGAGATGGTGGGAGGAAGTGTTGCAGCTGGCGATGACCGCCTATCGGGAGTGGCTTCGAGCTGAGCCGGTACAGAGGCTGCACATCAAAACTCAGGTTCCTCGAGAGTGCAGTACGGTGTGGAGCCGGCTGGAACAACGGGGACAGTTGATGCTGCTGAATGCCGTCCCGACCACGATCCGGTCAGAGACCTTGGCGAACCGGGCATCAAGCTCTGTGGACGTGTTGTACGCCCTGTTCTGAAGGTATCAACCAGGTGGACTCGCAGAGCGATCACGTCTTCTACGGCAACTGGTTGAGCCGAAGGCCCCAAAGAGCCTCAATGAGACAGTGGAGCTATTGAGGGGTTGGCGAAGGAGTCTGAGGAGAGCTCAGGAGCTGGAGATCGCTACACCAGACTCAACCCTTTTGTTGGGGGCTCTCGACCGGATGTCTGAGCAGATCATCAAGGCCTCCAGCCAAGCGGCATTCAGAACTTCTTCCACGAGGGCTGCACTGGGGGTAGATGTGACCCCAATTTGGAATCGGTGTTGAACTTCGCCCATATGCTCACAGCTGAGGCAGAGTCGCTGGCTATGAGTGAGATCCAGCCACAACCCGAAGTGAAGCCTCCAGCATCGGCGACCAAGGTCAAGGTGATGACCACGTTCCCGGAGGACAAGGCGGAGAAGGGGGCCGGAAAGGCGAAGACTGAAGGGTCAAGAGAAGAACGGGCTTGTCGATTCTGGGGCACGGAGGACGGATGTCGAAAGGGTCAGGACTGCAAGTTCAAACATGACTGGGGCGACCTCGAGAAGAAGGGCCGCTGCTTTGGCTGCTCGGGCATGGGACATGCCAAGAAGGATTGTCCGGCTTCGAAACCTAAGGTGAAGGATTCCCCAAGGAGAAGAGTGCAGTGAAGTCCATGAAGGAAAAGAACTCCACTGGCGTGGTCAAGGGGGAGGCGGTGGATCCAGGCCCGAAGACTGGGGGGAGTGACTCGGTTGAGGCGACCACCACCAATGAAGGAGACAAGGGGGCCGGTGCATCAGGAGAGATGAAAGACCTTCTGAATGAGGCCACTACGTTATTGAAGAGCCTCCGTCCAGCATCAGCTTTGAAGGCCATCAAGCTGAGCAGTTTGGAGGTGCGGACCAACGACCGGGCGCTCTTGGATGGGGGAGCGACCCACTGCTTGAGGACGGCCAAATCTGAGGAAGAATGAAGCCGCTGCCGCTGCCAGGGCATTTGGGTAATTCATTTGCATTTGGTGCTTTCATTCTTATGTTTCAAGATCTTCTGAAAGTTTATGTGGCATATCTTCTGGTATATCTTCTGACATTCTGACATTCTATTTGGCATATCTTCTGACATTATGACATTCTATTTGGCATATCTTCTGACATTGGATTTGGCATATATTCTGGCAATCTATCTGGCATATCTTCACAGATCACCTGCTGCTGTCACCAGTCAGTACACAATAAGTATTGTTACACATTGCATAGTTGATAAAGCTATTATGTACAGGAGGCAGTCAGAGATCAAATGACTATAGACTATATTCATATGTGTGAAAAAAACCTGGCACTTAGGACATATGACATGTATGTGCTGCCCTACACTTCTTCCACCTGTCACCTGTCAGCTGTCGCCTGTTACCTAGAAGACTTTGACAGAAGACAGATGAAACATCTCGGCCGGGGGTTGGTGTCCACCTGAGAACAAAAGATCAGGGCAAGAAACAATTTGAAGGACAACTTTCACTGAGAAGTAGACTGCAGAGTGCAACTTTCCACCTGCACCAAAAATGATTCAAAACATGTCAAAACTGTTTCCAAAGACTGCGCAACATGGTGCATTGCAAAGAGTGAAGTCGTGACTTCTTAAGCAAGTTCAGCTTACTTTTCCTTCAGCTGCTACAGTCACGGCAAAGTCTCCTCTACGTGGATGCCATTATCCTGCATGACAACACATTCAGCATCATCTTCCTCATCTGCTGCCTGGGAACGACAACACAAAACAACAAAACAAAAAAAACAACATGGTAACATTTGCGGGGAAGAAAATGAAAAACACAAACATCGCAAATAAATCAACATAAATCAACTAAGTTGCATCATTATGTGAACCATCTGTTTGAATAATCTGGATTGGTCGTGGCACCGTCTGTCGAAACGGGTTGCGGTTGACAGGTGCTGAAGGGACAGGTGACTGATATGCAGCTGGCTCCAAAAAGGAGTACCGTGCTGGATGCGGTTCTCGTCTCAGCGTCCCAGTGATCCATCCACTAAGGAAGGCATGAGCTTTCGGGCTGATAGCCTGCCTCAGTCAACTGTCAGTTAGCTACTTTGTTCAAAAACAACTGTTTTATGACAAAGCAACAAAGATGCTTCAGACAAGATACTTCTGAAGTGCAGCATCTGCCTTCACTTTCACTTTGTTGCGAATCGCCCAAGCCACATGCCTGCGCTGGTGCTCTCCAGATGGCTGCCATGTAAGCCGTGAATGAAGCCCTGGCAAAGATTCTGCTCGGATAGCCACCTCTGCTTGAAAGGGTTTCGGTGAAGATTCATACATATGACATAGAAGCATAATATCTTCTGGATGACCTGGTTCACAATCATACTGAAGGCTGTCCAAATCTTTCACTGACAACATCTTTCGTCTCAAGATCCTGAACAGGTGTGGGGCCTTGGGGCCTGTCAAGCCAGTCATGTTGACTGGCATTTCTGCAAGCCACTTCTCCCAATCTGGGCTTGAGTCGTGCTTCCATGCTTTACGGAAGTAGCAAGACGTTTCCAGAGAAGCATCATCAAGAAAGCGCTGGTATACTTCGACAAGCTCCTGGGCAGTCTCGAATGTCTCATGGGAACATCGGGTCACAGCTTGTCCACCCACTGCGTCCAGGCAGTTGTGAGTGTGTCCTTTCTGAGGGAAACCAATGTTACAAGAATCAATGATGTTCAATGCTGCTAGCTTCAACCACCACCGGATCATTTTTGAGTTTTTGTTGTCACGACAAGTGTTGTCGAGCAACAAAAAGACTTGCCGAGGAAGTCCCACAGTGTCATGCACCCAACACAAACACCGGGCCAGTGAGTCGACTTGGTTGTTGGTGTCCTTGCAAAAGTCAGGGTCTGCAATGGATAGGCTAAAGCCATGACCATGAATCCAGATCATCTGCACGTGACACGCTGGACGGATGAGTTCATCAAACGTCTTTGACTTGATATGTGCTCGGGGCACTTTGTGCTTAGCTTGATCCAGTCCGTCTGAACGAATGACAAGGACAGATGACGGATGACTTCGAACATCTGATGTGACACTCAACGCTCTGGTTTCAAAGGCCAACGCTGTCCATGCACTGTCTGCCGCTCTGTCACGCCAGTTCTGCAGGAGATGTTCAGAGTAATCCTGAATGAGTCTGCTCCGCAGATGAAGAGCTTTCACTCTTTTCAGCTCACGCTTGAACCAAGTGCATTGGTCACAAACTGCGTGTTGTCCTGAAGCCTTCCGAAAGGCCAAGAATTGTTTGGATTGTCGAAGGGCACGTTGGAAAGTTGTAAACGATGGTGCTGTCTTTCCAGGACTGTTCTGCTTATGCCACCGTTGCATCATCTCGAACAAGATCTGGGGCTTGACCACGCCAAGCCATCGGCGCGGAGCTGCTCCTGCTCCTGGGCCTGTCAGTGAATTGTTGAACGGGGTGTCTGTGAGCAGTTGCCTGAGCGACAAAGTTGCCAGCTTTCGCGAGTCCTGCTCGTCCCATTGAGCTTGTGACAAGCTGGAAGCTGAATCGGAACTGCTTTCTGCTGCAGGTGCTTTGTTGTCACTCACTGCTGTGACAAGAAATGATGGCCGTTGCAATGATGGTACCTCCTCAAAATGGAATCTGTCTGGCAAACTTTCACCGTCATGGTGATATCGCAGTTGAAGAAATCTCATACATATATCCAGCTGCTTGTGGTGAGGTGCCTGAGGAAGCCTGTTTCCTTTCTTTCTTTGATCTGCATGGCCTCCAAGAACCTCAGTATCAAGCTGCTCCCGCAGGACAGTTCAAGGCCTGAAGGACATCAAGCCTGAACAAATACATTTAAAAACAACAAAACTTGAAACAAGCCTGAGAAACTCTGGCATAGCGGCCTGAACCAATTCCCAGCAAAAATTTTGCAGAGCCCACGCAAACAAAACAGTTCTCCTCACACACGACGCCCTTGAGGTTAACTGACAGGGTCTTGCTCTTTGTCTTGCGTGCAGTGTACTTCCGCTTTCCTGAGGCATGAGCAAGACCTGGTTTGCTCAGAGATTTCGGAACATCTGTATCGCATGTCAAATTCAATGCCTCTTGGTCACTCCCAGAAGTAGAAGTGCTCACCACTTCCAGCCCATTGTCATTTGGAGATTTTTCAGTTTCTGTTGATGAACCTTCAGATGGCTGCCTCGGCCTCAACGCTGGCTCTGCTCCTTCTTGCTGCTCTGGGCGGCTCCGACCAAAAACCCACAGCAGCTCACGATCTTGGACATCAGAGGTGAGACCCTGAAATTCCCTTCGCCAATCACACAACTTTGAACGAAATGCTTTGACCCTGTCCAAACAATCTTGGCCACATGACAGGCAACCTTTGCCAAACTCAATTGCCTTGTCCAATTTCTGCTGGAATGTCAGCAAGAAATTCTGCTGAGAATTGGTTGACTTGTCAGCTACACTGCGCTGGACAGCCCGCACTGTTTTTGCTTTGGGTTTGGCCTTGGCCTTTGACTTTGCTTCAACGTCTACAAGAATCTGAGCGCTGCCTGCAGCATCACTGTTCTCAGTTGAAGTCGAGCTGCCATCCATGCCATGGCAGGCTGCAGGGGTTGTTTTATCACCTATCGTATTGAATTGTCACCTGTCTCCTGTCAATGTCTTTCTGGATGCATGTCACCTGTCAATGTCACATGTCACCTGTATACAATCTGTGACAAACAAACTCTTCGTGGAGTCTTTGCCATTAATGATGCTCTTATCTAAGCCACCAAAAGATTCGAAAAACAAAAGCACATCTATGAACAACATCCATGAACCACAGTTGCTGTATTGTTTTCAAACCGTTGCGCAACACGTGACCACAAAAAGCAACTTTACATCTTTTCCCCCCAGTGCTCACTGCATGTTGACAGGTGAGTAGTGCAGCAAAATGCTGAACAAAATGCTTGCAAACACGTTTGCCGTGAATGCATTGCCCGCCAAATCCTGGGCGTGCTTGAAGGGAACATCCTTGTCTAGGCCGCACATCTGAAGCTCCTCTTGTGAGAGCCCCTGCAATAGGAACGGTAAGACAGGAGACTTGTTCACAGCAGCTTTGTCTGGCGTCAAGTATACAAACTTTTTACTGGGCAAGACACAGGGGTGCACCTGTGAGCGGAACTTGATAAACTGCAAGCTATCTCCAACTGGAGCGACTAGCAGTTTCGGAAGGGTGGTCTTCTTTGCCATCAGTGCAATGGCCAAAATGCTGGCATCAATCTCGCGTTCTGTCAATCCAATCCTGCCCCCTTGCTCCTTGATGACACCGGCGAACGGGTGCTCCAAGTCAGACTTGCCCAGGCCATTGAGTTTGACAAAGTTGGAGTGATAGTCTCTCCATTTCCTTGAATGACACATCACTACACCACGACTACACTACCCTTGGACAGCAAACAAAAAATGACAGTGTTACCAAATATAGAAGTTCAAGATTCTCTGATATCTTCTTCTTTGTTTTCTTTGAACCTTTCTGATCACCTGTGCGTGGGTCCTCTATGCCTGCGTTCAAGCCAACGCTCAAGATATGCTCCAAAGACTCAGGTGGTTTCTGACAAGCAAAGATCCTTTGCCAGATCTTCTCAAGCTGGGACATGTGCACTGATTTCCCCACAGTGCCTCAACTGTGTATTGAATGCACAAAGTGCCTGCCACTGAGAAAAAACACCACTTGAAAACAAACAGCCGCCAAATTGCTGAATCCAGCATCCATTCTTGCAAAGACTCCCCAGGCACGGGTTCGACTCTGAGGTACACCGAAGCACTTGCTGTTTATGACCTGCAGGGCGCAAACTAACCAGTGAACATGACATGTAATGTGAAAGCAAATATGGAACCCCCCATAATCAATCAAATTCAAACAGGACATGTGCCTTGAAGATACCACAGTAGCCACGCTCTGCAAGCTCAGTTTGCACCACTGCTGTCCCGCGCTCTTGCACCACTTTGCGAAGCTTGGCCAAGGCCGCAACGCATTCTATGACAATGAATCTTGGTCGAGAAGACCATTGGACACTGGAAAGCCACTGAAGGAATTCAACCTCAGAGTGGTAAATAGCAGTCTACTCATTGGATAATTTAATCAAAGGCACCAACAGATTGGATCAATTAATCAAAGGCACAAAACTGCTTCCACTCTTTCCTGTGACATCCAGCACTCCGCGCGGCGTTCTGCTCAATGTAGAGATGTCGTCGCACTCGATCGCTTTCACAGCTATGTCGCAAGTCATCTGTCGTGACATTGAAACAAGGTCACCTGTCCTTGAAATAATGTTGAACATGGTTTGGCCAACTACTGCCTCATGGACCCTCTGAATGATCTTCTGTTTCCATGGCACACATTCTGTATAGAAAGCTGCGCGGAATCGAACTGAGAGGCCATGTTCTTCTTCTAAAACTCGAGAGATGGCAGCAGCACAAATGCTCCCTGTGGCCATTCCTGCACAGAACTCACCAAGTGCCACCTCTGTCTCAGAAAAAGTCCTTCTGACAAGTTCCACTTGATCAACTTGAAGACCTTTCACAGCAGCTCGCATAAAGTTGATCAAGTTGAGGCTGGTGTTGGAAGTAGGACCGCCGTCTTCAGAGTCGGACTCCTGAAAGGCATGTGTAAAAAGGCATGACATGTGTGAAAAAAACGAGTGAAACCACAAACATCCAAGTGGACGATTTCAACCATCATCGTCTCCTCTGGGCGTGATGGCGCTTTCCGCTTTCCAGCTGCGTGATCTTCCCAAGAAGCAGCAGCTGCTGCGATGCGCCTAGACTCTTCAGATTGACTTGAGCTAGAGGTGGAAACGTCACTGCCATCATCTTGAACTTTGGCTTGGGTGGCTGGTCGGCTGCTGGCACTTGCAGACACTGGCCTTTTGCAGGCTCTGCCCCGGCCACATCCTTTCCCACGAGCTCGTCCACACACTTTGATGGGTTTCTCCGGCTCAGACTTCTCGGTTTCTGTTGAGCTCATGACAGGTGACCAGGGACAGGAGACAAATAACTTTGCACATTGCAGACAGCAGACCAAATTATATGGTTTGGGCCAAATTGAAAACACAACAGCAAGCATCAGAATCATTTCAAGACCATTGCAACAGGAAGACTCAAATCACAGCAACTGACAAAATCAACTCACCAAGCGCAGCTGCCTTGTAGGAGGCCACAGGCTTCACCTTGGAATCACTGCTTTGGACAGGGTAAGATCTACCTACCAAATGGACAACTCACAAGATTGAAGTATTGAAGTCAACGCTGATCATGCTGACTAATTAACTGGCTGCTGCATTTTTTCACTGAGAAGCTGGAACGGTCACATCGACAGGTGACTCAAAGTCACTAAGGAATCTAAGGATTCCAAACCCTATGACACAGATGGTATCTAATCCAAAAGCCATTCCTGGCCAGCTGTTTTCAGCCACTTCTCAGCAGCCTTCATCGCAAAGGGCTCATAGTCGGGCAACTCCAATGCCTCGTCCTTCCATTGATCGCGGCAATAGGTCCAGAAGTCGCCCTGGCAGAAGTGACAGGTTTCAAAACAAAAAACATGACACAGAACAAAACAAAAACAAAGTAAACATGTGTTTGGTGACTGTCAACCGCTATGCTAACAGAACCCCACCTCCTTGTTCCTGCAGATCTTGTTCTTGATCACAGTGTTGTAGGCCTTCTCGATGGCCTTGAACCTAGTAGAGCCATCAGGTCCAGGAGGACATGGGCGATTGGCGAAGGTCTTGCGCCCTTCCGTGGCCTTCTGCTTCTTGGTGCTGGTGCCCTCCTGCTTGTTGGTGGGCTTTTTCATGGCAGCAGCGGGCCTTTTTTTCAAGGGCGACTTAGTAGGCGACTGGTTGCCATCATGCTTCTTGCCGTTGTTCCTCTTGGTGTCAGGTGACTTTTGGTCTTCCAATGCCAGCTGGCCATTTTCCAATGCTAACTGGACTTGACCTGTCTCATGATGGAATTCCAATGACAAAGAAGTCTTGGGAGCCTGCAAACTCCCCCATGAACAACCTGCCGCTTCCTGGGACGAGTCTTTCTCATCCTGAGCATCATTTGCAAGTTCACTGACTGAAGGGCGCCACTTCACAGAAAGTTGCTTGCTTGAAGCATTTTCACTGTCTTCATTGCTTGGAGGCTTGTTGTCCTTCTTCATACCTCCAGGGAGCATCTCCTTGAAGACAAAATCAAATGCTGCCTGCCCCGCCATTGGACAAGATGCTATGAGACAGGTGACACAAACTGAGACTGAGGACTGAGAACAGCTGCGGCGATGGCAAGGAAACACTGATCAGACTCATCAGACTTGACGCCATGCTTGTGAAAAATGCCAAGAAAACTGCTTGGACTGACCTTGTTTTCCCTCGGGATCACCCAGGTTTCTTTGATGTATGGAGCTGGAAAACGCTGACTGAAGAGGGGCGGTGGGCAATTGCCTTGCCGTCAAATTAGAGTGAAAAAAACCCAAAGCTATTCACTCAGAGACAAATGCCTTCACGCCGCTCAGGAACCCTTGATCTTTCACTCTTCCTTGACCAACTTGATGGGCTTGTTGGACTCAAGCTTCAAATCCCGGTTGACAGTGACAAAGGGTTTTTTGAGGCTCAACTTGGCATGGACCGCGTGCCACTGGCACCGCCACATCCACGTGAAATTGGGATGCAGTGGCTTCAGCTGCTGAGCCAAAGGGCGGAATGCATTTCCCGAAGAGAAACTTTTGGGATCCTTGTCCTTGGGAACAAAGACCCAAGGCTTGCCCTCATCTGCTGTCAGGTCGTAGCCATGTTCGCCCAGCGCTGCATCCCCTTTTGAAACAACCTTGTATCCTGTGACCGAGATCTCCGTTGCTGGGGAACTCTTCATCAAGTCCTTCACCACCATGTAGAAAGATCCTCTCTTGCACTTGCTATTGTCCTCATCCTCGTCCTCGGCATTGGAGCCAAAATTCACCTGACAATGGCAATGACTCTGCGTGTCACCGGTCACTGTGCCAAGTCCTACAATGTCAATGATGGTTAGAGTCTGTCAGCTGTCAATTTGCCAAGTCACCCTAAACTTCACCTGTCACCATCACAAAATAAACATAATGAAACAACATGAGCTGGCCTCAAGAAGATCTCTGTCAGAACTCAGTTCAAATTTGACGCCAGGCTCATCTCCCTGAATCAACTTGCCACTGCCGCAACCTCCAAGACGCGTGCCACGCTTCAAAGTCACATTATCCTTGCTGTAGATGAATGGCACACCTTTGTCCGAAACCAAAAGGATCACATTCTTGGGGTCAAAGGCTTTGCACTCCACCTTGATGGTGTACTTCTCTCGAACTTTGGCTTCGCTTTCAAAGGCTGGCATGGTCTCAGGTGTCACTTCTGTCTCAGCAGTGGTGGGACGTGGATCCACGGTCTGCAGAGTGGGTGTGTCACTCTCTGGCGTCAACTTGGACTTCAAGAGCTCCCCGAAGTTCTCAAGGTGAGAGGCCTCCAGAGCTTCAAACCTTTCACGGATGAAGTGAGGACTTTGGGTAAACTCTGATTTCACCTGTGAGGAGAGGACCACTTTGCTTCCACTGATCTGGAGAACCTTCAACTTGGACCCAAGAGCGCGCACTCCTTCATAAGCATGCCACACCCCTTCCATGGTCTTCAGGTGCTTCAGGTCATCTTCGGACAAAGCCTTAGTGAACAAACAATTAAAACCATCACAAAACATATGCAAAAACATATGCAAGCAAAGACATATGCAGTGAACCGTTGAAAAAAAACAAAACATATGCAAGCAAAGAACTTGGCAATCAATGTCAGGGCTGATGGTCTTACCATCCAGCTCCAACTTCAACTCGTGCTTCATCCAGCGCTGTGCCAGCCAATGGCCCAAGCGCTTGACACACCAATCGGCTGCCTGGACAGATGACTTCAAAGACTTCAGCTGCACAATGAAGTGCTTGATGGCAACTCCGGTTGGAAGTTCGTCCTTCATCAGCATGGTGGCCAAACAGTGGTCCCCGACATGTGAATGAAGGTCCACCATATGAACCGCATCATTGGCTTTCAAGAGCCCTGTGAGGTGTGGCTTCCGAAGCTTGCTTGTGCTAAGCAGTGCTTTGTAGAGCTGAAAGGAGGCATCACTGCCTTTCTGCGCCGATCTCGTACTGGGCATATATCGCACAGCACGTTCTGATTCTGCCGCTGATGATATTGTGACCATCTCTTGGCTGCCGATCAACATGGCAGTCGGAGCTCGTCCCGTGCGGGCGAGTTCGGACAACGATGCAAAATGATTTTCAGCAACTGCCTTCTCCAAATCATTGTAGAGGTAAAACATCCGGCCACTGGCCGTGAAGTCCCACTGTTGCTGATTGTATGACCTGAGTTCACAAAAAAGTCCAAATATGAATGAAGCCAGCTGTCACAGACTGTCACAAGCAGTTTGCAATCACATTGGAACCTGTCACTTGTCAGACACCTGTCAGACTGATCAAAGCCAAGACACTCTTCGCCGGGGACGGTGAGGGCTTGGCTCCAAGCATGCTGTGCTCCAAATCCGGCCAGTTTCATGCTGCGGCAAAAATCAACAAAATCCTCAAGTGGATCTGCGGTGCTCTCCTCCTTTGAGCGACTTGCCATAGTCGCAAGAATCACAGTATTCTCCACACCTGTCACAGTGTCCCAATGTCCAACACCTGTCATAGGAAAACATGAACTTAACACTGTAACAAGTGGCCCTGGGTTCGGCACAAGTTGGCCAAGCCCGTGATCAGTTTTGGCTGGATCAAGGCGTTTCGGGCCTCAGTCTGAAAAATCAATGCGAATGATATGTCATCACAAGTACAAAACGTTTCAATAACAATAATGATTCAAAGGAACGCCGGGCACATTGAAGTCGCAGATTGCAACCACCAGCTTCTTGCCCTTGATCTCCGTGGTGACATTTGAAGACATGGTGGCATAATGGCCTGGAAGTTCGGCCATGTCATTCAGCTCACATACCGGGCTCTGCTTCTCCTGGTATCTCTGCACCAACTCCTGGGCTGTCTTTGCAAGAGCCACCTTCTTCTTGCAAGCCAGCCAATCGAGGCAGTCTTGCAAAGTCTCAAATCCTGCGGGTGAACATGGACAGTCAGTGACAAACACCAAAACCACACACACAACATGGACAGGTGACAAATGACATGTATTGTATCTATTTGTTTTGTATTTGATATCGTTGTTTTCTATGGACTCAAGAGTAGCAGTTGATGACTTGCTTGGATAACTGTCTGGCATACAGTGTCCTGAGCTCATGGATGACAAAAGCCTTTGATCAACTGCCAGTTTCGCCTCCAAGGAACGAAGCTTTGCTGTCCTTAAGCCGCAGCAGCATGTTGCACGAAAAACTATCAAAACAACATGAACTTCATTTCCCAAGAATTTGGCTGAAGATCCATTCTTCTTTTTCAGCTGTCTCAACGAGCGATTCTTTGTCTTCATGCGCAGCATCGTAATCAGTGGCCAAAGCAGCCACGTCTGGAAGCATAGTGACATTCCAAGCCATGGGCCATTGCTTGATGCACGCTTTGATTTGCGCATCGAGGGCCTTGAGTCAAATTACTCAGTGATTCTGCAAGTTTAATGGGTGCAAAAAAAGGACAAGTCTTAATGCAAGTGAGCGGCATCCCCTTTGAGGACTGCATCCCGAACATTCTCAAAGTCAGCGGGCTTCAAGTCAGTGAAGCAGCACTCTGCAATGGTACGGGTCCAGGATGTAATGACAAAGCGGTATGTCCACAAATGCTCAACAGTGATCTTGGCACATCCATGGTTGTTGGAAAGGGTGTCCTCATGGATGCTGAGAATCTTGTCCATGATCAAGTTGTGATCTGCTGGTGACAGTTCTCCACCAAACTCCAACTGCTTTGACCTTGGACAGTGTTTGAATGAATCATGAAAACCTCATAGGAAAAAAGCATGTGAGTGGTCACATATCATACAGCAAAGGCACATCAGTCGAGGGGGCACCAACTTGGCAGATGCAGCAGCACCAGCTCTGCGGGCATATTCTTCTGCTTCACTTGGGCACATTCCATCAGCAGGGAGAGTGGAAGTCCACAAATGCTTCCAAGACAGAACACTCTCATTGACAGATGACTCTGAAAAGAATGACAGGTGACATTGCAACGCACGGTAGCTTTCAAAAGTGCTGTAGTTGCACATGTGTTTGATCGCGTTTTGCTTCTGGGTGCCGATCTTTATCTCACGATCTTTGACAGCCGCGTCTGCATTTGAATCTTGCTTTCCACTTTCCGATGTCCTTTTGACGCGTCGTCTTTTACTGGCCTTAAAAAACTTGAAGCTGAAACTTCAAGTCTGACATGGGCATGACAAGATGAAACAGTCAAGTGACAACAATTAACTGAAATGCACTTCAAGGCACCTGTGGCTGTCCAACTACAATGCCCTCAGCATTCACCTTGCTCTCGAAGCCAGCAAGTAAGGTCTCGAACGTTTTCACCAACCGCTTGCCAACTTCCTTTCTGCTCAATGGATTCTCAAAGCTCAGCAGCTGCTCAACATCCCCACCGGGGTATGCAGCGACTAGAACTACGTCAAACCACTGAACTACGTTGAGAGGTTTGATGTAGGCACCTTTCACATTCTGACGGAATGCTTGCTTGATCAGAGAATCATGGGCGCCAGATGCTGAGGCCTCCCACAGTGTGGGAATCTTCAACAAAGATTCAAAAATCATAAAGGCTGTCGAATCTGCTCCCAGTTTTCCTTGTGCAATCTCAGACTTCATAAGACACCACCTCAGCCCGAAGTGACATCAGAAATCACCAACAACACCTTGTGAAAAGATCTCACATTTCAAGTTCAAAACATAGATGAAGCCTAGTGGCACAAGCTTGCAAGCCAATGCTCGTCGCTTGACTCCATCGCCAAGCCGACATGTTCCAAGTTCTCCAGAAGTGCCTACTGGCAAATCCCTTGAGACAATGGTCTCTTCTGTCTTGAACCCTGCCGTGATGATGGAGTTGGCGATCCCGATGATGATTGCAGCGTCACTGCTTGACCCGCTCCTGATAAGGATGCATCTGGGAGGCAAGCTGCCAACTGTCATGAGGTCAACAGTCAACTGTCAACTGCCAAGACTGACTGAAAATGACTGAAAATTATGTGCAACTGGGAAGCCATAGAGATGTTGAGTCCCATCGAAACACATGTGGCAGGGCATGAGACACCTGGCCATCCTCTGCCATGAAAACCAGGTCCAATGACTTGGTTGCAAAGAGCTCCGATGCTGTATCGTCCTCAGATGTGAAAATGACACCCTAAAAATCACACTGACTAAATATAAAGTGTCTACTTATCACCAAGAATCTTCACCGGTCAAAGCCTTGTGCATGCTGGCAATCTGCTTTCACATCCCCAACCTCACTTGGCAAAGTCAAGTTGGCGATCTTGGTAGCCAAAAGCTCCCTTGTGGTTGTGCACTCCTGCGCAAGGAAGCACTTGAACATGAAATTGAATCTGAAACTTCATTGAAAATATGTTGGACACATATGATTATGGTAGCACTCCTGGTACAGGTTTTTCACATGGTTGTGCAAGGAAACTTGCCATGCTTCAGGGGCCAACGCGACATCCGTAATGGCTGACATCACGATCAATGACAAAATTGCTGGACAGGCGACTATTTTGAGAGGTGATGGCAACAAACACATCACAAATGACATTGGCAAATGACAGGAGACAAACAGGTGACAGCGGTGCTTCATATCTCACTGAGTCTGAGGCAGGTTCCAGGTTCACTCTTTCAACCTGAGTTCACACAAGGTGTTTGTAACCGAGGGTTTCTGGGGGTCAGGGTGCAACCCTTCCAGATAGACGGGCAACTCCAAGTTGCCGGTGGTCTGGGAGGGGTAAATCAATTCATTTTGAAGAATGTTATCTCAAAAATATATTGACACCACCCCTCATGACACCTGGCAACCCAGAGTTGCCTGGTGTCATCTGTGGATAACAGCAAAACCCCAGAAATAGACAGGTTGCTGGAACCTTGTCAAATTCAAAGACATTTCTGAGGCAACTCTCAGTTGCCGAGGATCTGGGAGACCAAATTCAATCCATTTCTGAGGCAACTCTCAGTTGCCGAGGATCTGGGATACCAAATTCAATCCATTTCTGAGGCAACTCTCAGTTGCCGAGGGTTTGGTGGGCCCAAGTTGAATCCATTTCTGAGGCAACTCCCAGTTGCCGAGGATTTGGGGGGTCCAGGCTGAATCCATTTCTGAGGCAACTCCCAGTTGCCGAGGATCTGGGCGGGCAAACTTGATTCCATTTCTGAGGCAACTCC